ACGGTAAAGCGCCATATGCCCATATAAGTACCACGAATGCGGCACACGAGTCACTTCGCTTGCCAGTAATTAATCGAAATTGTTGAAGAGGATTCTTCGACTCTCAGTCGGTAAACAACGCTATTATGTCAAACGCCAGTGGTGGGAATTAAAAAAATAGCAAAAATATCGACGGTGAAATCGGGTGAAGATATTTGCACTTGAATTAATGGCATCAATTAAGTGGTCGAACCCAATAAAAATATCTAATTAAAAAACCGATCTGATGGAGTAGAAAAAATAGTACACAAACTATTTAAATTTTTATTAATAATACTGTTCCCACAGTTCTGTATTTATTTTGCCTTTACATGCAACAAGAAAAGTTGTGCGATACGTCGCTGTCTCGTCGTTCTGAGAACTAAGTGTAATCGCTAAGTATGGTATTCGGGTATTCCATGTGCAAAAGTATTCCCTACATTTGGATTGAAAAGGAAACCATTCAAATTACAATTAACAGATAAAATAAGCAACGCAAAATATTATTTTAAATGTTTAAAATTACAATTTAAACATGTTATAGATTTAAAACAAAGAGGTCGTCATTCCAAATTGTAAGGAAAGTCCTTTTTTTTCTGTTAACGCTATCCTTAGACTAGAAAGTTCTATTTTTTAGTTTCAGGCACATACAATACAAAAATATACTTAAAATAAAACAAATAGGTTTATTTAAATGATACCTTTACTTAGGTTTTGGTAATAAAATCAAAGAAAATTATTTCACCTCTTCTTGGTTGTACTATTTTGTAATGCTTGATTTTACATAGTCTATATGTTATGATAAATATGATACATCGCTTGTTTGTTTATCGCCAACAATTTAAAAAATGAACTACTCTTAAAACCGACAAAAATTCGGAGACCCTGAAATTTCAGTTTTGTTCTATTGGCTAGGTGCATAGTGAAGGTTCGTGCTTGCAAAAATGTATGTTTGTTATGAGATTTTTTTGTCTCTTTTTATCTTAACTGTAAATGTATTTCTAATGACCATCAGAAAGTTTTCGTAGGTTTTCTGGGTTTTCAATTCGTTTCAGGGTTTACTTCGGAATAACCATAAGAAATGTTTCCCTTCTAAAATGCTCTATGTTTTTTACCCGCTGCTCCAAAATAACCAAGTATCGGATGTTTTGGATATATTATAGCGAATACTATTCAGACATGTCAGTTTTAATGGCCAGTCACTAGGTTTAATATACTATCGCTTCGCTCGTGACTAAAGTGGCGTTAAACTCGTTATATCATCTCTCGGTGAGGAAAAGACCATCGTGAGTAATTGTTTGGTAACGAAAACTTGTTCTAAATAAAAATTAAACATTCGCAGCAATATAATTTTCAAAATATTTCTAATCTGCAAAATAATGAATAATATAGACATAATAAATTCAATTTTGTATTAAGGGATTCCTCATATGTAATTTTATCCATTTTCCCGTTCGAAAAGCTCAACAATTTGCTGCGCGTGTTGTGAACGAGCTGGCAGCCATCAAATCGCAAACGAAGTTTGACAGTGACGTATTTATCACATGCGGGCATTATTCCTGGTCCGCATATTTCCATCTGTCGGATGTGTCCATTAAAATTGATCGAGCCTCCTGCGTCGCGCGCTTTCTTTTGTTTCAACCTTCGCTATACACCATAATTATATTGCGTTTTAGACAAAATTTAGGATAGAGAAATGACATCAGATCATGGATAAACTACAAGTATTGAACATTGCAGACTAGAATATTCTTAAAAATCGCTTCCGGTTATACCGGATGCAGGCATCAGCTTTCTCATTTTAATCCTATACCTATACTTGCGTATTATTTGTTCAAGTCGTAAGCAAGTATATCTATGTTATGTTTTGTATATTTTCTATAACCTATCTTAATCTGACTGACTCGAAAATAATTCAGATCACTTCAAAATACAACGATATGGAAAAAGGGGACATTTTGTGACTAAGACCGACCGAAGCGTGAAATTTGTATTAATATTATGCATATATTATGTATTTAACGAGCAACGGCAAAAAAATTATGTCGGTATTAGCTTTAGAAACACTTTCCTTAATTATGCTCTCGTTCGCAAAATAAGGTGCTACGTGATTGGAAAATTTGTCAGCGTGTCAAAATATACAAACGGTTTTTGCATCTCCAAGTACAGCCATGTTTAAATAACTATATAAACTGCACACGCTAAACTGTTATCGCTATCGCCGAGCTCTTGGGAATGATTTTTGAAACGTGTAAGTTTTAACACACCGGTTAGTAAAAAAGATACTGAATTTTCCGTGGATTTCAGTTTCTAAGAATTGTTTTTTTCGTATTTAAGGTAAAAAACACATTTTTGAATTTACGATATTATTTTTTTCAGCAGTAAACTAATGAACCCTGTTTTCCACAAACCACAAGTAGTTTTGACCAGTAGATCATTTTTAGAGTAAAATTTTAATGGAAAGCATCATGATTATGGTTCATAAAAGATGAAATTATTAGATCAAATAAACGCTCAAAATATATCGACAATTCATGGACTTCAGGAATGCCATCTGGTTATTATTATTATTTATTTCGATAGTAAGCGGAAAAACCTGATGAAAGTTAGTTTGTATAACTGTTTAAATTTAAATTTTTATATTTCCCAAATCGCAGTTAAATTGATTGGGGAGGATTCTAAAGCTCAAGAGGTAGTCTAGTGATCTTCTATTTCACGCAGTTCAAATCAGAAATTTATAAAAGATGCAGTTTCTGGTTTATCACCTTGTATAATAACATTTGTACAATTTAAAAAACTTGTTTGATTTTAAACCCAAGGTAGGTGCCTACCATGCGCCTAAAAAAGTGTTGTTGATTTTTATTTTTTTTACGCGAAAAATATACAAAAAGAGGTAAAAATTAAAGTACTCCTTGTTGCGCTTAGTTGAATAAAAAGAGTGCATACCACTCACGAAGCAACCATGAAAAAAAAATTGAGGTCTATGCGCATGCGCGAGCCTTAAAATTTCGCTTTGAACCAATGAAATTTCTGCCCTCAACAATCAACATGGCCGCTGACAGATCGCCGATAAGTATAGATGCGGCATTTTTACTGCAGCATTTTCTCAAAATATGTCTAGATCCCGTTAAATATTAAGACCACAAAGAGTTAGGCGTGTGGGTATCGTGGTTTATAGAGAAAATGGCGCAAAGTGCAGGTTGGTGGGTGAAATGTAAAGGCATTCGTATCAATTTTTAACCTAATAGGGCGGTTACTATATTATCTAATAGCTATATGGCTTTACGACATAATACATACACTCCTTTAAAATTACCCTGTATGTAATGAGGAAAAACCAATCTAACCCAAACGAATCGAATCGAAAACATATCGCAGATGTTTGACACATGTGCAAAACACCTTGGTCAATATTATTAATATTCAAACCATTTCTGCAATAAATATTATTCAAGGCCACCGTCAGTCGGTAAACAGTCAGTAGAATAGCCGAGCGAGAACGGGTAAATGAACTTGCTGCATCTCAAACCGAAAAAGTTAACATTCTTGTTTTATCGCACATTTTAAAATTAATATTTTAACAGGAAGTCTACCCAGTAATACCCACATCTCTAACACCGCTCGTTAAAACTTTAATGGTTGTTGAATTTTGCTTAAGTGTGGTTCACTTGCGCACGAGCGAAAATCTTAATATACAAGTTAATAAAAATCCGATTTACGACGGCACAAAGTGACTTCTATTTTTAGTTCCTAATCGGCGATATATCCTCGCGCGGTTTTTCCATCGAAAAATCCACAACGGATACAGTACTAAGTAAGGTACACGCAATTAGTTTTATCTTGCCCGATACTGCAATTATTGGCGTATGAGTTTATCTCAAAATACAAAAGACACGTTTTAAGTACGTAAACATTTCAGTGTGAAAATAACAATTTTTGAGACCAAATATTCTTCTCCCTATAATAATAAAAGTTCTCCGAAACGAACTTAATTTTGTGAAAGACTTAAAGACAGTTTTTATAATTATAATTTTTCCCAAACAGGTAAAGATAATTAAATTTGGTACCATTATATTATATGGTATATTATATTATACTAAGCTTTTCTAAGGTAGTATTGATTGAACAAAATAATATTTTGATTTTTTACGCAGAGTATTCATGCCATTTTCTAATTACAATAATTGTGACAGTAAACCAAATCTGAAAATGTGAAGAAATACGTGATACGATAATTAAAAGAAACAAAAAAATTGGGATCTCCATCATTCCTCCGAGTGTTTTAAATGTTTTTATTTAACCCGTAACTAACATGGCCGAAGTTATCGATAAACTGACACACATAAAACACAAAAATACCAACCTCAAATCGCATTTAAAATAAAAGCATTGATAGTCAAAATTTATCAAAATGTATAGTAGATCGTTTATTTTGAGTGTATTTCTTATACCGAAACTCTATGCAAATGCAACGAAAATATTAAGCAAGGCGTATTCCGTCCCAACTTTCAACTAAACAGGTAAAATTCACGACAGGATATCTTCCAGAACATCTTTTAAGCCACAATAACAGGTTTTGAATTTAATAGACATTTCATGTAAACTGCACTCGGGTATGGCTGAACCACTAATAATATATTCCTAAAAATTGATTTCTCTCTTGAAAAAGTCCAAGAGAAAAGTACCGATGCCCAAAATTCGGCCGCTTTCTCCTCGTTGCAGACAAAAGTGGAAATCTAAAAATCGTGGTTTCAAGAAAAAAACAAGTTTATATTGCATGGAATACACGCATTCATAAACCATTTAAAAGTAAAAAAGTCAACTTGGCCAACGCACCTAACGATTAAATAAATTCAACAAAAACCCCACCCTAAAACGACAGCTCACAAAAAACCTGATGGTCAATTCGTCTGGTAATTTCAACACTGGAAATATCGGTAATCCGTAAACGCGAAAATAAAATTAGTCCATTAATTTCTTACCTTCGATATGTTAGGTCAATAAAATGGTCTGTCGAAAAAAATAATGTTAGAAAAGTTCAATAATCTAGCAACAATACAATTGACTCCACAAAGAACCGGCAACTACAGCTGACTCGAGTCACAAACGGAGTTCTTGGTAGCCCATTCGAATGAATATCGTCGTGTGTGCGCAGACAGGACTTCTTGCTCCATCTAAAGGAGACCATACACACGCAATTTATTGACACACATGCACTGCGCCCCCGACTTCTAAGCGTATCGTATCGTATGTTATGCGAGACCAGTGTAATTTTTGCCTTTCAACATCAATCACGAGAAAAGAAAATCTCATGTCATCAACTTTATAGGCATAGCGCATCGCAAGGTACAATAATTTTTAACGTATGTGGACCACTTTAGGTAGGCAGACCGTTTTAGTGGGGCCGTAGCTTGCACTGTCTCCTTGTCGTCGGGGAGGAAATGTGAGTCATCGATAAGCCTTATGTTTTTACTCGAAGTTGTTTCGAATTCAAAATGCGACTTTTGATACGAGATATTGTTTGTTTGCCTAGTGACAAAAATAAATTGGATATCAAATAAATTGTAAAATGTTCATTTCAATAATTATGTGTACAACTAAATTTAAAATCTAGCACACTAAATAGCCGACAAAAAAAAAATAATTATATTTTCCATCAGAAAATTTAAGAATATTGTGCTGGTAGAAGTAAGAATTGTTTTAATTATCCCGGGCGTTTCATAAAAACAATGTTTTTATAAAAGAAAACTATTACATTTTTTCTACACGAAAGTCTTTATTTTATTTCCATTCGAATGCCTTCATAAGAATATACCTGAAAGGTTTTGTTTATATTTTGGTAACCTTATTAATGCGTTGTCCTTTTTGAAAACACAGTTTTTATTATGGAAACGTTGAAAAAACCGTTGAATCCTAAATAAAATGTCATTTGTCACTTTAAAAAAACTCACAAGTACTTTTTTTTTATTTCTTTGCTCGATTGTTAATAAAAAAAAATACATCAGAAACGTAACCACACGTATGTCCTCCCCTAGACAAAATTTGCGAAAACAAAAATTTTGCTTGTTACCGCCAGGTAAAATTCCTAACAAATTGGGTCAATAGCAAATCACAACATTTACAATTATATTGTTTAGAATATCCATATATAAACATTACAATCATTGTTTTTTCTCAGCGGGAATATTCCAAGAAAGCACATTTATTTTATATTATATGCACCCGCTATATTTAAGAGCAACTAACTATAGGCAACTCCCAATTCGTATAAACTGGTGACGTGACGAACCTACGTTCCGATTTTACTTCAAATATTGGCTTACGATTTAATACGATGCGAACACTGAATATTTTTGAGAATAATCATAAAGATGGGTATAAAATACTGGATTGAAGCACTAAGCAAATATATTGCACGAAACGAAGATATGTTACCACTTAAAATATTTTTCAAATCGGGCTGACGTTCTTCGAACCGTTTAAAAATAATAAGATGGGTTGATGCTAAAGTGTAAGCAATTATCCCTTACAATCTATATTCTATTTCCATTTTCAACAAAGGCGAATGCGCCAGGAATGAGAAACTATGACCTGTATTTTCACAGAAAGTAAATAACCAAAGGCGGCGAATGCGCAGGGAGAGAAGTTTTATTAGATATTCAAAATTGACAAATCCATTTGAATAGCACTCCTATACCTACCCATAATTAACAAAATAACTTTTTTGTATCAATTGATCTTCAGACACTTCATATCGTGATTCCATCAATTGAGGCAGAGATGCCACCTACCAATTTCCAGCCCAATTTAGAACTTCGATTTACTAGAGGACTTTGAAAATTTCACGTTTATGTCCGTTACGAATGAACTTGTCGAAAAGGCGGAAACACCACAGAGTTTTTACTAAATATATAGTACAATGTATGTTATTTATATTTATTCTCTGAATATATTTGTCTCGGTCATTTGAAAAGTATAAAGCATATATATAAATGAAAGAATATTAATAATTAACTCGCAAAATCTTGTGGTAAACTGAAAAATAGAGCAACCCAAACCACGATTATTGCTGTCAACCAATGTTCTTTTTTCATAAATCAAACGGGTGCTTCTTCAAAAAACATTACCCAATTTTGACTGGACCCTGGATCATCTTCCTATCAAATATCTTTCCCTAGACCAACGCTGAAAGAGTAAAAAATAAAAATTGGCAATAGCTAGAAGTGTTTTATTATGGAGACAAAGTTAAATGATTGCACATTAGGTATCGTTTTGTTACAGGAAATATAGAAAAAAATAAAATATTCACGCCCGAATAACCCACCAATTAACAAACGGAACTCCCGGGAACCCATTTCCTTTGTGAAACAAAAAATTATACGAGATCAAAATCTGAATCACACACTGGCGGAACAACCAACAACTTTAAATTTTTCAAGAGAAAAACAAAGCGTGGAACTACATTACAAATAGGGACAACGCGGGATACTTCAAAAATTTAAGAGTATTATTTCGAAAACGCGAAAAAAACCAAATCAAACTTCTAACTAAACTAAACCGGTCAGTCTTTATGCTCTTAAATTTTTGACGTTATATTATATCGCTCTATAAACTCTGTAATAAATTAAATTTTTTCTGTACACCTAAGCCAACTTAGAACCCTAAAGACACTTTAAACAAATCATTAAAGATGCTGACGCTAAACGTTTTATACGAGTCGCAGCCACGCGGGCCCAAAAATGCGACCCGCAACGGTCTGGGAGGAACTTGCAAATGCACAATTTCTAAACCTACAATCCTATTTACACAAATAGTATTTTTTTCTTTGTACAAAATGTTGAATACCCTGAGATTTTCCAATCGGAACACAAAATAATCAAAACTTATTCACATGGCACACATCAAACGCAATTTTACAATTTTTGACTTAAAATTCCTCTTGTTCAAAACGGAGATCTGGTTAAATATACGACCTTACGCTTCACTTGCGCAGAATAACAAAAAATGGCTAAGCTTATATCATAACCCTAGCTAGTTTTAGAGGTCACTTCAAGGTTAACGAAAATATTACAGAATTCTGCTCTGACATCTTACTGAACCCATATATTATTTCAGCCACATCGTTGAACAGTTTGAATATCATTTTTGTAAACATTATTGCGGCCAATGTACACCTAATAAATAAAATAAATTATGCTTCTAGTAATTTTTAATTGACAATTCGAGATTAATATGTTGGAAGAGTTCGCTATCTGGACAATGTAGATGTATTTAGGTATACGTAAATTGTTTTATAACCAAGAAGTAAAAAAAAAACGTCACAAAACGTGTTGAAACCTGTTAAAAGCAAGATGCTACGTGTGTAGATCAATTTTGTTGCATTTGTTGCGTATCTTTATATACATAGAACATAGAAACATAGTGAAAACATAGAAAAAATCATTAGGAGTCATTAAAATCCATCATTTAAAACACAAAAATAATAAACACTTTTGACAGTGGATGTGCAATGTTAATGGGGCAATTTAGCAAAAACGTAAACGAAACTACTCGAAACTTTTTGGCTATGTAAAAGGCACATTGTTAGATATAAAAAAAAAGTACTTTCTCAAGCCACCTTGCCCTTACCGATTTTAAAGTATGTACTTAAAAAGTGACATTGTCTTAGTGTAAAATATGGGAAAAGGATTAAAAATGTCTGGCAGAAAACTGTGCGACCCCTAAAACTTTTCCTTTCTATATTTTTTGACATTCCTCACAACTCGCGAATAGGCATTCGCTGTGTCGAGTGCCAGCCTGAACGAACCAATACCGCAAGAGGTCTTCGGTGGAGCGAAAAGCAGCCACGGCAGCCCACAGCATCTTTAACATGAAACGAAAACACCAACATTCCCCTACAACCCTCCCATTTAAGAAGTAAATATTCTAAGAACCTTATTCACTGAACGATTGCAAATCGGGCACCGTTTGGTAGTCTTAAGTGTCTTTTTCGCGCACGGATAACAGCAACACCGGTGCGCCAAAGTCGTGTGCAAAAATATGCTGTCTTTGGGGGCGTTATTGCAAAACAGGCAAAGCTCGGACGTCGTCTCGTCGTTCGGTTTTTCCGCAACGCTAGACGTGAACGAACCGGAAGCCGAATCGACCTCCCACTCTTGTTTCCGCGCCCTTTTCACCTCGTAATCCGATAAACTACTTTCGGACGATTTGCGTTTGCGACGCGTTCCCGGCTCGACCTTAAGGCCCTCTACGGAACTAAGGCGCGTCGCCGCCCCTACTTCCGAACTAGACTTAGGCGAGTCCGACTTACGTGTTTCAGCGTCTTCCGCGACCTTAGCGCTGGCTAATAAATCTTCGCCGCCCGTCGAGGACATACCTGTGGTCATGCTACCTTTGTATTCCGGTACGACGATCCGATCCAACTCCAGCGACGGAAACTCCTGGCTCGAGCCGATGCCCGAATCGTGCGACAGGTTTGTCAGGCAATTCCGCAAGAGGTCGAGCTTCACGGAGTTCACGGGTTCGGGTTTTTTGTTCTTCGCGACGCGGCCGCGTCGATTTCTTCTCGGCCTCGGCGGGAAAAATTTCTTTCGCTCCTGAGAAACAAAATCCAATTTTCGTAAGTAGAAACGACCCCAGGCGGAACAAAGTGGCCCGCGGCAGGTGTGAAATAACCCAGAAACTCGTCACCTTCGCCAATGTTCTACAATCTGGACCAAAATTTTCCAATCCTCAAAAGGTTTGTTGTCCCAACACACAATCTCAAACAGTTTTTGAGCTAATTTAGGATTTGTGTTCATGAAATTTTGACTTTACACTAGACTTGCGAGTTCGCAGGAATTACAGGATATTGATAAAAAACTAAGCAAAAAAACATTAACATATTTTACAGCGAATCATTCCTGGCTTCGAAAACTTAAAAACTCCAAGAGAGAGGTTAACATAAAACAGTTTTAGCTGATGCGCGAACTTTAATGTTCGAGAACAGTTCTAGAATGTTGTTGGAACAGCAAAGTTCAAATTCTGAAAAGTTTCAGACTCGAAACAAACTTTGTTGGAACATTAATGTGCATACTACTACTACAATTCAAGATTCGTTCTAGGCTCCGATGGAACGAATCCCAACGAATAGACGCAAAAAATGTTTCCGTAAATTTGTTAAAATCGCAAATAATATTCCAAAAATCAAAATCGATGTTCACCAGAGAAGATACGGAATTATCCGAAAGTTATACAAAGAGCAAAGGTAATTCCACTTTACACTTAATTTTACACATTAGTACCAGTTTATTGCATTTTATTTGTAAATTGGATCTTATTAAAGTTAAGACAAGAAACGTCATGTTTTTTTTTTAATTGTGTCTAGGTTCCTGCAAAGTGACCAATTTACTGGAAATACGCAAAATGACTATTTCGGGCAAACTGCAAATTGAGTACACTGTTTTAGGTAATTCATCAAAATATCTGATGCGCTACTCAATCTGAAAATTTCTTCATTCATTCGTTCTTCATTGACTAGACAATTTGATGATTAATAAAAAGACATTTTTAAACATATTTTTCTTAAATCTGAACACAATTTTCGGTTTGTTAGCAGAACTGTTAACAAATTGAACCACTATACCAATGTACATAGAAATACACATAATATACATAAAAACACAAATAATTTAAGGTGGGCCTTATATAAATGTAAGCTTAAACATATCTTAAGATTGTACATACCACCTTTTTAATCAGTAGTATTTGACAAGGCGTTAAATGTTTAAGTGGAATCCATCCAACTCAACAAAATAACAGAAACGAACTGGTAAAAATGGATTACAGTCTTTGTTCACTTATTACTGTATATATATTGTACAAAATCATTTAATCCTCAGATTGACAAAGTCATCAGACATTATGCAGAATGGCCAAAACAGCGTAGTCAGTTTGCAGATTATTTGCAAAATAATAGTGATTTTGCTAAGGCATAATTAGTCAGTTTGCAGAATACCTAGACATTTGGCACATTGAGGCTTTTTGTATATTGCCGGTAACATATATAAACGTATGTTTAGAAACTTTTCATTACCGAGACATAGCCAAATACAATATATTAAAAATTGTATTTCACTATAAGCAGTTTTGTCACCGTAATTCCTGAAATTGGGCTCCGAACCACGTTTCCCTGTGACTTTAACACACACATGCATCTCAGAGAAATAGCAACTTAATGTCAGTTCACTAACGGAAAAAAGGAGGTATAGATCTGGGGCTGGGAGGACATTATTGACGTCAATATTCAAGCTAAGCAATCATTAAAAATACGCAATAACAACTAATTCGTTTTTTTTTAAATTTAAGCTTCTATTAAAATTGGTGGAAATTCTCAATAAAAATATTTATAAATTTTTTACCGACACCTAAAAATAATTATAACAATCTATTATGAAACGCTTAAAGCTTGATTGAAACTTCATAAATCAAATATAGATAAAAAAACACATAAATCAATCAATCCGGAAAAAACGTTCAAATAAAAAATCATATTTTTTATAAATAAAATAAAAATCTTACCCATTTCCTAAAAATAAATAAATTATAAGAGAAAAATAAAAAAAACACATTTTACCTGGCAGGACCGAGTTTTCTTTACCATCCTTCCTTAACCCCAATAAAAGAACCCAACAAAGTTCTCTGTGAAAAACTTCTTATCATACCATTAACTTATGCACCAATTGGAATATTGTCCATATGACTCATTTTGGATATTTAAACATTAGAACACTTAAGTCTTTTAATGGAAAGTCCATAACCACACACAACACATTTTCAAACACTTTATACATCTAGTTCACTATTACTAGTTTTTATGCGGTAGATTTGCCTGTTTGCGACTGTTGACTTTATCAATAGGCCAAAAAGGCTAAAGGAAATGTTCCTTTAAAACTGAAAAATATTCAGAAAATTGAGGAATTTCCATATTAAAAAAAAAAAAAAGAATAGCTTTCTGCTAGTTCCTGGTAACTTGGATACCAAATACATTTGGGTTGGAAATAAATTATATCAGATTTCCAAATCTTCGAAAATGAGGAGACAACTCTAAAAAATGTCATAAATTTAATGGTATGCCGGACAAGCATGACAAATAATTTGAAAGGAGTATGTATATATATAGAGAGAGAGCAAGTAGTATTGGAGTACCACTGGAGTATTGCCGAAAATTCTGTTGGACAGATTAAAAAATTGAAACCAAAAGTCCCTTAAAAATGTGGCACAAACTAGATATCTTTTATAGAAATACTATTAGAAGTCAAATACAATGTCAAATAGTCAACAACATTCCAAGCAAATCCACCTCTGGCCACTATTATAGATATCTACCTGAAAACATTTTTCACAATATCTGTAGAGGGGATTATCATTTTCTCCTTTGCATTGAACGCAAGTAGAGAAATCTGTGCGCCCGAAAGACGTTTCATCCGACGAACTGTCGGAATCCTCAACGTCTGTCACCCAAGCCTCTATCGATGTGTCTATTATAAATGCCGCAGCTGCGGATAATACCATACCCTGTAAGAAATATTTTATGAACGACAAATATCTCCTCCCACACAAGATTATTGTTGTTCATCAAAGTTGTTCCAAATATCAATAATTGTAGTTGATTGGAATATAATTTAAAAACCAATATTGGAATAATAACATTGTAATTAATTTAGGATGATTTGGAAAATTCACCTCTGAATCACTTGATGAGTTTAAAGATTTCCGTTCATCATCTTCAGATAAACTAGCAACTTCATATTCAATTTCCACTTCATATTCATCCATATCCGCCCTAGAATCTGTATCAGACGTATCTCTAACGATGTCTGAAAAGAACTGATTAAACGTCTGCTACACCGGACCCAAGTGAGCAGCCTCCTACCAGTAGCTCTGTCTTGCAAGCTGTAGACGCTTTCGGTATCATCTTCAGATGCTTTGGAACTCTCACTCTCCAGACGAAAGTAGTACATTCTCGGTCTCTTTAGCTCTTTTATTTCTAAAGAGACGGAAGCATCGTCTTCTCGAGCCCTTTTTCTCCAGGGGGACCCTAATTATTCATAAATAAAATCTTGGTAAGAATGTCTTACTTGAAAACGGTAGTTAAGTCAAACGAATGCGATGCCATGCGATTATGAAGGCTATAGTTACGACATATGCGCGTTCGTTATTATGGTTAGAACAACAAATCGAAAAAAGCACGCGTATGTAATCAACCGTTTACAAATTAATTTGGATTTTATAGCATTATGGTACCTGAATTGGACTCTAAAGTAGCTGACATGTTGACTAGATTATAATCCAACGTTTAAATGCCGATAACGAAGGATACGAACTCACTTCGAACACACCTTAAACAGACGCGCACAAACTTGTATTACGATTTCTACGAAATGGACAGCATTCCGGAAATTACCCTCAGCTGCTAACAAGCGCGCAAACTCCAATTCTTCTTCTTTTATCACAGAATAAATGTGTAGTCATTTACGTTTTTACATTCTGTTAACGATTTATAATATAACCATTTGAATTAAATAAAAGTTTAAGTTACCCACATATTTTTTTTTCTTTCCGGCTTTCCGTTTAACTGCAGTGAGCATATAGTGATGGTGATTTTGGCCACATGTTGAAAGAATTGCGCCAAGTGTCAATTGTTTAAATTCCATTCTTTTCATATTTTATTGACAGTTCTTAGTTTACAAAAACAGAATAATTTTGGGAATATTTTTTCTATTGATGGTGAGTTTTAAATAACTAATATGCCGTTAGCAAACTCGGGAGAGCCATGGCAAATTCAACGAGCAGATACAGAGGTTAGTACATTTTGTATTTATTTGGTAATCTGCACCAAGATGTTTTTCAAATTATTTTGGTTCATTTTTTTTTTATTAAATTTGTATCTTTTTTAAGTAGGTATTTTAAATGTCTCGTCGATTTACAGCTTTCGGGTTATTCAGCTCATTAAGAATGGTTTCTGTACGTAAAATATGTTTGCAGTTTATGTGAGTTTCTTGGGTTTGTGATCTGTTGTTTTAATTTTTTCTTTATTTGGTGCATGTAATGTTAATAAAATTTTTGTGTTAGAACTGAAAAAAATTATAATTACCCTTACAAGTCAGTACCTTGATTGTGCTTATTGTACCACTTGGTTACATGTACTGTATTATTATGAGGCTCTTGTTGGATATCTCTTACTCCATTTACATTGATTGCTAGGTATATTGAATTCAAAGTTTCGTCTAATAGAAAAGCTGATTAAAAGATAATTTATTAAATAATTTGTTATTGCCTTTCAGTCACAGTCAGGAGATGTTGATGAAGCAGTTGTAGCAGAAGAATCGACGAGTGCTCAAAATGAAGGTGAACATGAGATTGAACTCGGCGAGGTACTTTTATAAATTCAGAACTGTTACTTTTAGTCTTAAATTGTTTATTCCAGCTTGTTAGAAATGGGCATGATAAAGCAGATCCTTCCCAATTTGATCTCCTCAAGGTTTTAGGGGAGGGCTCATTTGGGAAAGTCTTTTTGGTACGCAAAGTGGCTGGTACTGATGCTGGTATAATGTATGCTATGAAGGTCCTTAAAAAAGCTACATTAAAGGTTCGCGATAGGCATAGAACGAAAATGGAACGTAATATCTTAGTTGATGTTGAACACCCCTTTATTGTCAAACTTCATTATGCTTTTCAAACTGCTGGCAAATTGTATCTCATTCTAGATTTTCTTAGGGGAGGTGATTTGTTTTCTAGATTGAGCAAAGAGGTAAAGGATATGTAGTAATATATTTTTTTAAATAAATAATTATTTTGGCAGGTTATGTTTACCGAAGAAGATGTTAAGTTTTATTTAGCTGAGCTAGCACTAGCTTTGAATCATTTACACTTGGTTGGCATTATTTACAGAGATTTGAAACCAGAAAATATTCTTTTGGATGCTGAAGGTCATATAGCTCTTACAGATTTTGGTCTGTCAAAATTGCCAGTGAATGAAGGCAAAACATATAGTTTTTGTGGCACTGTAAGTTAAAATTAAGGGTCCTCCAATTGAATCTTAGCTTTAATGTGTTTAGGTTGAATATATGGCTCCCGAAGTAGTAAATAGGAAAGGTCATTCATTTGCAGCTGACTGGTGGTCTTTTGGCGTTCTTATGTATGAAATGTTAACTGGCGCATTGCCCTTTCAAGGGTCAAATAGAAAAGAAACAATGACACAAATTTTAAAAGCAAAATTGGGCATGCCTGGAAATCTTAGCCCGGAAGCTCAAAGTCTGTTAAGAGCGTTGTTCAAAAGAAATCCATGTAACAGGTAACTTTATTCTAGAAATTTATACAGTGTATTTTAGAAATTGATTTCTCTATTTTTCTTTTAGGTTAGGTGCGGGCGTGGGGGGCGTGGAAGATATAAAAAATCATGAATTTTTCGCCACAATTGACTTTGATGCTCTTCTTGCCAAAAAAATTCGACCACCATTTCAACCTGCAGTCTGTGGTCCTGAAGATGCTTACTTTGATTCAGAATACACTAGTAAAACTCCCAGAGATTCTCCCGGCGTCCCTGCTAGCGCAAACGCGCATGAATTGTTCCGAGGGTAATAAAATTGTATTTGTTTCTATTGATAGTGTAAGTGAGGGCATTTTTAGATTTAGTTTTGTTGCACCTTGTTTGTTGGAAAATGGTACAGTACAGAAAAAATCTATGGAAACACCAATGAAGTCTTTCAGGACGACAGATCGAAGTTTTTCCGATGAGTACATTCTGATGGATATCCTTGGTTCAGGAAGCTACAGCGTTTGTAAATTAGCTAGACATAAGTCGACCGGCCAACAATATGCAGTTAAGGTTCGGACAGTTCCAATTATATTATTAATAATTTAAGTGAATATTCTGCTTTTTAGATAATAAATAAAACTCTCTGTGATTGTAGAGAAGAAGTAGAAATTCTATTAAGATATGGTCAGCATCCCGGTATAGTAACCTTAAAGACTTTCTTTGAGGAACCCACGAAAGTATATCTCGTGCTGCAACTGTTAAGGGGTGGCGAATTGCTTGATTATTTAATGATGAAGGTATCTTCAATAAAATTATTTTATTATGTAACAGAGGAGACGGATATTGCATAAAAAAATAATATAATTATAAAAGGTTAGAATTTTTTAAATTCAATGTTTGAATGAAAAATTGTTTTTTTGTGCTAATATTCAGCGAATAATTTCTATTACAAATCTGGCCGAAAAGTAAAGCAAAGAAAATCAAGAGAATCAAAAAATTGGGGTTACTTTCGAGAAACCTATGAAATCGAGATTCACGGGATTGTCGTCGGTACAGATCGATTCATCGTCGAAAAAAAAATGGTTTTTTATTTGGTCTTCTTCGTAACGGACCCTAACGGCGGGTTTTTGATTCGGGACACCTTCATACAAAAGTACGGGCTTCGAATTTTCCTCCGTTCTAATGCTAGACGACCCGCAGCGTCTGGCAGAATGTTGAGGCTAGCCGACAGCCGCGGCCATTCTCGCAATCGACTTGAGATTCGACGGAACCTTAAGTTTCCGCCCCCAGATGGAACCTATTGAAACTGGGCGGGATCGAATGTTGTTAAAAATATTGCCTCCAAAAAAAAGTATATTTCTCGAAAACCTATCGATAAAATTGTCGAACGAGAAGCTGCCAGAGATGCGGGTCAGTAATGCTGTCTATGGCACTTTGTCAAAAATGTATCGGAAGTGTCGGTTATCGGCAAATAACCTAAAATTCCTTAAAATTTGTCTATTTCTGGAGCACTGAACTGACTGGAACATTTTTGTAGGTAGCTGAGAGAGCTGCAATGCATTTACTGTTTTCGTCTATCATACAGGGTTAAAATTAAATATTAGCTTATAACTTTATTACCGTTAACGGATAACGGGTTGAGTAGACGGTCATCTGAGCTACCGTTTTATGCATTCACCATTTTCACATATTGTAGAACTCGCGTGATACGTTAAACCGAAACCCACAGGTCCCTGCTTAAAACGACAATTAACATATTGTATATACACACACCGAATCGCAAATTCGACACATGCTGTGGAGATCCGTGGTTAGGGCGTCGGATGCGACACGCACACGGAATGTTTCGCGTTCAAACCCAGTTGCAGGTTATTTTCTTTTCACTTGAAATATTTAATTTTATTATATTCTTGTGCTTAAATTTGGTAAATTATTGTAACTGAAGTTTTTTATGAAGAAAACTATAAATATTTTTCAATTTAGTATAAATATTTATTTCTTTTTCCAACACTGGTAACGGACATTGATTATTCGGTTTTCAGAGAACGAAGTAAGAGAACTTCTTCCAACTTGATTCAATGCAGTGTTGCCAGATCTACAAGAAATTTTGGCGCAATTTTCTTTCAAATCCGAATCTTTTGGAACATTTTAAATAACTTTTGTTAATATTTGCCTATAAATTGTGCCTGCGGTAATCGTTAAAAAAATATTTGGATTTACGCATGTGACGCAACTAAAAATTATTTTATTTTTTTTTATTTGTTCAACGCATGAGTGTAAAAAATCCGCATGATGATAGTTGGCAGATATATTATTCAGGTTGTCCCGAGAATGTGAGAAACTATCCTCTAGGCGGTATACGGTTTCTCGAAAGTTCCATAGTGGTCCGCAGGAGCACGATAGAACTACAATGCGCCCCCCTAGGGATTTCGTTGTATATAGTGATTCGGAGATCTTGTGTGTTTTAGGGCAAACTCTCGGAGCAAGAATCGGCCGTTATATTGAAAACTATAGCGTCGACGGTCGCGTATTTGCACGAAAATGGCGTCGTTCATCGAGATTTGAAACCCGCGAATATCCTATTCGCTTCGGAAAATCGCGCACCCGATAGCGTTAAAATCTGTGATATGGGATTTGCCAAACAGGTATTACCACGAAAAAAAAGGGGAAAATAGCAAGACCGACTTTCAAATTATGCCGATTTTATTTCAGTTACGTGCCGAAAACGGTTTACTGATGACACCCTGTTATACCGCGAATTTTGTCGCCCCCGAAGTGTTAAAGCGGCAAGGGTACGACGCCGCTTGTGATATTTGGTCCTTAGGAGTGATATTGTATATAATGCTTTCCGGGCAGTGTCCTTTCAGCACAGCCCCCAACGACAGCCTGCAACAAATTTTGCAGAGGATCAGTTCGGGGAAACTCGATTTGCACGTAAGTTAAGAACATGATTCACATGGTGTATCTGTTTATTGTGGCGGAAATTTTTAATATTAAAAAAAAAGTTCGTATCAACATGCGCCAACAAATGCTGAGATTTTTGGGGTACAAAGTATTAAACTTTTAAAATAGATTTTTATTTTTATTTAACAAATATTAACGATATAAACCATCTTAATTTGGGTTTTAAAATGACCAACAAATTAGTATTTTTTAAAAATATAAGCATTTTATGTTTAAGATCATATATGCTGTAAGCACATCTGATGGTAAATGTTTGCTCTACTGAAATTCACCCAAGGATCTACATTAAAGGAGAAATTTCTAATTATCCCAAAAACTGGTTGCCGCATCAAAAATTTGAGTTGTTTCATTTTTATGTAGGCTTGTGTGTGTGTGTGTCTTTTTAAACATTTCCAACCAGAATGGTCTAAATTGGATAATTTTAAAGGGAACCTATCGTGTTCAAAGTTCAAAACTTCCTTTTTCTCCAAGAAAACAAAATATCAAGTGTGCTATATTTCTGGAAAGGATATTTTAACTCCTCTAATAATCCAAAAATATATATGGTTATATTTTTTTAAACACACATTTTCCAAAAACACTCTGTCATTTCATTTCATTTAGAAAAGGGAGTTTCCCTTTAAAAGTGTCTAATTTGACCACCCTGGACATGGGCAAGGGGCCTAACTAGTTTGTGTGTGCCTCTAAAGGTTGAAAATTGGGTGGGCATATCGGAGGACGCGAAAAGACTCGTCGCGGACATGCTGCACATAGCACCCCAGCGCAGACCCACGGCCGCACAGCTCATTAAACACTCCTGGGTTAACGTGCAGTGCGCGAAGTATTACGCGGAAGAAAGTTCGGCAATTCTGTCGAGCTCGCAAATGCCAGCGAATCAGCAAGCAGCGACGACCGGGGGCGGTGACACGGGCGGGGCTTACTTGAGGGAAACTGTCGCTGCCACGTTCAGGTAAATTTTAAATTGCGAACCATGGCATTTTATCCACAGCGGACCCGATAAGTCACTGATAAAATCTGCTTTCCCACCTTTTGGGCGATAAATTTTCGAAATTCAACGAATTTAGTTTAAAAAACAAATCGCATTTAAATCTTACACTGCCCTCTAGCGGTAATTTAAAAAAACTGAATTGCAAATTTATGATTCATTTTGTTTACAATGCGTGATGTATTTCCTGTTTCATCATTCACCATCATTAGATCTTTTTGTAAATAGTATTCATCATCTTGGAATTTTAATTTTATTTAAAAAGATATAATAAAACTATACACGTTTGTTTTCATCATGCGAGCATAAAAATAATGGACTAATATATTATTGGGGTGGAGGTGGGATAAAACTACCGACGCTTATTGGTGGGAATGCTTTTGAAAACTTTGGCAACAAATTTGGACAGTCAACAAAATTGAGAATTTGTCTTTGACAAATCCTAATATTGAAATTATTAAGAATAACAATTTGAGAAATTGAATATGAGTTTATTGACAATTAAATAAATTCCTAAATCTTAATTATTAAATAAATATTATGTGCACAAGTTGGTAGAAGACTGGATAATCAGAAGATATTTCAAAGGGAATTTCGATTAATTTTCAAAATTTCACAAAAAAACTAGCTTGGATGCACCAATTTGTACACGTATAATTATCAAATCTATAACATTTTTTTTTTATGGAGGAAAAGAGTAATATTATTGTGGTGCGTTTAGAATGTGAAGTTAATATTAAGGGCTTGTCGGGTTTTCTTTGGATAAAACGTCATGGGTTGCGAATCGGATGATTTCGGTTTTTTAACCAAATTCATACAGGGCGATAGCGACATCCCCGCAGGTGGCGCACCTGGGTCCTGTCGCGATGTCCGAATTGGCGAGGAGAAGGTTTAGGGATAAGGCCGCGGCTCGAGCTCAAAAACCGTCGTAATTAGTAGTCAATTATTCATCGGCCTGCAGGTGCAATGTCCCAAGAATTGATGTATTTATTAAATTAATTTATTCCAAAACGGTATAGTTGGATACGATTATTCTTGCGAAAGTGGGAGACGAGGAATGTGCCCGAATCGTTTCGGTATTTTAAGAACGAGTATACCAAAACTATTTTTCCATAGTTTTTAGACGGACGCTTCGTTGTTCTCTGTTATAGAATGTTTGCCAGTAGTTTTCATATCGAGAATTGAATTCTTCAAAACTTACATCATTTTATTTGTGTGCCAACGATAATATTTATATACATATGTTTATTTCCCTGGTCGATAATTTAACTGAGGAATATTAAATAAATAAAAAAATTGTGACCTTTGTTGCGACCAAATATTTTTATACAGGTTGTTTATTTTTATCCCTTGGAATCTTCTGAGAAATTGAATGAAAATAAGTGGCGCCAATTTAATAATATTTTAGCCTCATGGAGGGCAATTACGTTTTTTTTTTCAAGTTCTCACCTATACTTCTCTGTGGAACTCCCTGCATCCATAACTTTGAGATTTTTAAGCTTGTAATTGTACAGATTTCCACCCTGACCACCTTTTTTAATTGAATTCGAAAACACTGTTATCGTTTTCCAGACGTGTAGCAGTACCTGCTCAAAAAAATTACACCTAGCATATGTCATCTCTCCCAATTTCAAATAGGGAATTGATTGTTGGCACGCATGCGCATATACAAGTCAGCCTACTAGCAACATATTAATAAATGATCACTTTAGCGTTTCCTGAAAGCCAGTTTATATTTTTAATGAACCTTAGCCATTGATTGATTGTTAGTGTCATAATAATTTAAGTGTAATTAATATGAAATAGGCGAAAAGTACTGTGTTCATTGTTATAATACTTTTATAATATATTAAGCTTCGAACCTTGTGAGGTTTGGTAATTCTCATTTACTGGGGCTTTCATCATTTCCGTGGTGGCCGTTTATACCGCAACTATATGAATGAATATTTTTTAAAATTTTACTCTCCTAGTTCTCACTGTGCCAATATTGCATACAATCTGTCAATCTATATTTGTAACGATATGCAGTCATATTTCTTTAGTGACTTGGTCATTGTGTGCTCATTTAGAAATCGTTGGTACTTAACGTGGCAGTGTGTAGACTGATAGCCTTTATCGCGAGTATTGACAATCTTAACTCGAGATGGTTGGTGTTTGTTGAGCTCTTGCCCTTATGTCTAAAATATTATATCCACAAAGGCTATAAACTTTTTTTTTTGGTTAGTTTTGGTTATGCAACGATTTCGGTGAAATCTTGACAATAATTACTATATATGATACTCTGTGTCATTACCATGTTTTGATTATTGATTTTTCTGCATCAATGACTAAATATTGTATAGATTTCATTGAAAGCCTTGCATAACATTTAAATGCAGAGTGAAACCGATTTTCAATTCAAAGTTATTAAAAGTAATTGCGTGCATCGGGATTTCTCAGTTATATAAAACACATAGTTATTAGTACACCTTGTGTGTATCTCTGTCATGTGCCTTACAGACCTATCTCCCACTTTTCCCTTTTTCACTTAAGGCTAATGTTAATGTTCTAAATGTACGCATTGAAACTATTTTTTTGTGAATTTCCATGTATTTTGGTTAATACCTATATGTTTACATTATTTTTGTAACACATATCAAAGTAAAGGTATGTTTCGACCCTAAAATTTTTAATGATATTCTAGGAGTTAAATAGATACCTTCCTTATATAATTGAGAAACCTTTATGCCGGGCAAAACAAATGTTTTCTACTACCAATTTTAAAACTTATAAATGCTTGAAATACAGCTATTATGTGTCTGTAAATCTGTATATTGTTAATTGCTACCCAAAATCGTTATATCATTCGGTACTAAAGATGCATATCATAGTATATGCTGGTGGTTAAATTTGCTTCAAGTTAATGGTTGAACATTAAGTAAACATTTATAATGCCCAAATCATATACTTTAAATCAACTGTTATTATTTTTAAATTTGACGCAATGCATAATGTAATTGCAGCATTATTCTTTGCTGATCATTGGGTTTACTGTGGTATCCAAAAATTGTGGAAACGGGATATACTATTAATGAAGAATGCAGTAGTGGAATTAAAAATTGATGAAGGCGAAAATGAGAAAAGAATTAAAAAATATCAAGTAGCATCTATTTTGTGGCTTAAATCCAAATTTGCAAGTAAAACAAATGATTTTGTTGTTATACCCTTTCCACACTTTTCAGCGTTCCAGTATATATTAATCCGCAGTCTTGTACAATTAATCCTTTTAATTTTAACTGAGAAATCAAAATATTCACATTCACATCCTTTATGAGTTTTGGTTAGTTTTCTTTCCCCTTTTTGCTTATTTAGCGTCACTTAATGTTATATGAAGTGTTTGTTGTGTTAAAAATTTGTGAATACTATAATTTCTTTTACCAGGTTGTAATAAAACACCATAGTTGATGAAATGTTGATTTATTAAGTTTTGATTAGTTTTAATGAAAAAAATTATACTTAAAACCTTTATCTTTCTGCGCTTGCTTTTAGAAAATGTTTTTTATAAAACAACAACTCTTCCACACTCTCCCTAATGTCTTGCAAAGCACGGTGTCCATAGATTTTATTTGGTACTTGTTTAAACAGCTCAGGGTTCCAGCGCCTACATATCTCTTTAAGTGTAGAAACATCGATTATTCTATAATGAAGATAATCATGAACCTTAGGCATATGCTTAATGAGAAACATTCGGTCCATGTAAACACTGTTCCCTGCCAATGGGCTCATTTTGTAGGTAACATGCTCTTGTAAGAATTCCAGCACCATCTGTTCCGCTTCTTCTAATTTAATTTTGGAATTCAAACATAAATTCACCAATCCTGTCTAAGTAAACTATAAGGAAGTGTTACAAATATGAAATATATCATTACTTTCTCATGTTGCTTTTGACACCAGTCATTCATTTTACTCAAAACATCTTTGGAGTGTTGGATTGCAATATCGGGCCCTTCAGCTATTACTCTCAAATCTGAGTCGGTGACTAAACAAGCAACTTCCATTATTTGATCATTGTCAACATCCAGGCCAGTCATCTAAAAGATGAAAAAGCTATGGAAAATTTTATGGACAGCGTGCAACACATTGCCTATTAACCTCCATATCCATCCATACTATACGATTTACTTCCAAATCTACAATAGTTGAATATCTCCTATTGTAGTCTACTGTTTGTGCTGCAAGTAAATATTAAGAGTTTTTCATTTTTAAAGTAAGTCACCTACTAATTGAATTATATACTCTTCTAAATGAACGGTAAATAGGCCTTATACTAATACTCATACTCATGTTAATTTTCAGTGTATACAAAGAGATGATTGATCACTGGAAGGATCTCCCCTTAGACCTCTTAATTATAACGTTGTGAAAGGTAGCGAAATTGCCAAAAAAAATGAGAGACCTCATTCATAATCGACAGAACTAATGGTTAAAATATTTTCTACAGAATAGTAAGGTTAAATAGGTTACATTTTTCTATGGACATTGTTTTCAAAAAAATTATATGTTCTGTGAATTGTCATGAAATAGGAAACCTATCAAAATTCACGTTTCTTCTGTCGTTCGATTGAATCAAAATGCAGGATGGGAAAGAGAAAGTATTTGAAATTAGAAATTTGGCACCTAAGGTCTCAAGTCCAGGAATTTATGTAAATGTTTTGCAACGAAAATGTATCGTGGTTGTAGTCCATAGTCTGAAACAAAAGGTTTGCACATACGACGTCTGCCGTTTTGTATCGCACAGGAAGGTTACTTTTTCAAGATGATTAGAATAAGGCCCTTGGTAAAATACTGTATAATTGGGGGTGCGGTAGCCAGTACAGCATTAAGTTTGAAATGCAACCAATACGAATGGGATTCTATTGGAATTGTCAGGTTTAGTAGGGCTGTTGTCACAGTGTTTAACATAGGGGTTATATATAAAAGAGACTTATATGGTAGAGGTCTAAATAAACAGTCCAAAGAGTACAAAGATCTCAAGTCAGTGTGTCATAAACGCTGTGCCAATAAATTACTTGATTTGTGTTGCACAAATAGGGGTGTATATATAAAAGTGGGCCAACATATTGCTGCACTTGACTATTTGCTGCCTTCAGAGTATGTGCAGACAATGAAAGTGTTGCATAGTGAGGCACCAGCAACAGATGTGGAGGATATTATCCAAGTATTGAAGGAAGATTTGAAACAGGATGTAAGTTACATTAAATTTTCTCATAATAGTTATGAATTTTATATGTTTTAGCCTTATGCAATTTTTGATAGTATCAGTGCTGAACCTTTGGGAACTGCTTCACTTGCACAGGTGCACAAAGCAGTTCATAAAGATGGTTCCATGTGGGCAATAAAGGTGCAGCATCCTTATGTTCAGGGAAACTCCAGAATTGATATGAAAACCATGGAATATTTGGTTAAACTGATGAGTTGGGTGTTTCCAGAATTTAAATTTCAGTGGTTGGTTGATGAATCCAAGAAAAATATTCCCCAAGAATTAAATTTTGTATTGGAGGGACAAAACGCTGAGAAAATAGCAAAGTTGTTCGAAAAAATAGGTTGGCTAAAGATTCCTAAAATAAGGTCTTACTCAGTTATTTTTTTAATATGTCAATATTATATACATTATTATTAATTGTAGATGGGATTTGACAACTCCAAGAGTGCTAACAATGGAATTTGTGGAAGGGGGCCAAGTTAATGATTTAAAATATATTCAGAGCAATGACATTGATGCATGTGAGGTCTCAGACAAACTTGGTAAATTGTATGCAGAAATGATTTTTATCCATGGTTTTGTCCACAGTGATCCACACCCAGGGAATATTTTGGTTCAAAAGAATCAATCAGGTGGTTGCAATATAGTACTTCTAGATCATGGTCTCTATGCAGTAAGTTAGTTTTTTTGGGTGGACATTTATAGGGTTTCCTTTATACCGTTTTTAGAATCTCAGTGATGAATTTCGAATAAATTACGCAAATTTATGGCTTAGCATATTAGACAGAGACAGAAAGTCTATGAGATTATATAGTAAAAAGTTAGGTATTGAAGGAGATGCTTATGGTTTGTTTGCCTGTATGGTTACGGGTCGTACATGGGATACCATTTTGAAGGGCATTGATAGGTATTACTGAATGATTGAGCTGTATATTTTGAAAAGATGATTCTGTTTCAGGCATACTATTTCCAAAAATGAAAAAGATTTCATGAGGCAGAACTTCACTGGCATATTGCCCCAAATCTCTTCAGTTTTGGAGAATGTAAATCGGCAGATGCTGCTTATATTAAAAACTAATGATCTTATGCGAGGAATAGAACACACTCTTCGAACTGGCGCTAGAATGGGAGCTTTCAGGGTGATGTCGCAGTGTTGTGTCCATTCTGTATATAATCAAAAATATCAGAAATGCAAAAACAGCATTGATAGGATTAAAATCACCTTAGCAGAATTTTGGGCTCTGCTTAAAATTAAAATATACTATACCTTTCTAAATCTAAGACACATATCAGGAATTTGATATTATCTGTGCACTTGTCCAGTACCAAATAAGTCTAATGATGCAGTTGTAAACAAGAAATTCCTAGTTAGTAAGTTTTAAAAATGTTTATTCCTTATTTGAAAAGGCATTGTTTATAAAATATATTTATTTTTATTTAGATATTTGATTTTTCTGTCTCCCAAAATATTTATGGTTAGAGAACAAAAACGGCAAATAAATTAATTACAGAATTATACTGATTCCGACGTGGGTGATACAATTCTGCAACGCTTTTCCTGCTCCTTGTTTGCCCTTCTGTACTGCCCTAAAAATGCAGCATCCAAACATTGACAATATGTTGCTTGATGAAAGCCGCAAGGTCTTATGGGCCTAACGTCAGAATAAGAAATTAAAGCTGTTTAAATCTCGCGCATGCGCACGTTGAACTTACTGAATTTTTTTTTACGTAGTTGCTTCATGATTTCCTGAACTGTCAGCATAGGCAGGGAATCCATATGTGTAATAGCTATATGGTTAAGGCAGAAAAAAATTCTTAAGTTATTATTAGCGCTAAGATAGTTGAATTTCATTTAATAATTACACGAAGTCACTTCGTAGATCGGCAGAATCGGCAACAAGTAAAGCAAACTTTGTAATAGAATAAAGCAAAAAACATAATACAGGGCACAGAACATAGGTCATAGTATATTATGCAACAAGTGCGGTAAACGGCATATGAATCTCGAGTTTATTTGACACGAGCGGAGCGAGTGTTTAATAAACGAGTGACTTATAGTATATTATATAAGTGCGGTAAACGGCATTTGACTCACGAGTTTATTTGACACGATCGGAGCGAGTGTTTAATGAACGAGTGACTTAAAATGTATACCGCACGTGTTACATACTATACTTTTTCTACCACCGTTAGTTTCTCGGTACATTTTTGCAAAACAACACGAATACATTCGCTGACATGACCGTCAGAACTGACTAACGTCAAAATTCAAGGCGTGGGAAATACAAGAATCGTATTACGATTGTTGTGGGAAATATCTCCGAAAACATCCGATTGCTCCCAAACCCGTGAGGTAATATTCCGGAAATGTCCGAAGTGGCACGGATCCGTGGGACAAGAAACTCACGTGGTAAAGTGACACTTCCCACACGCTAGATCGTTGTATAATTTCGCATTTTACAGAAGGGAGTAGAAAAAAAAGTTTCCCGAACGTGTGCATACTATACTTTTTCCACGACCGTTAGTTTTTGGGTACATTTTAGCAAAACAACCCGAATACATTCACTGACACGACCGTCCGAACTGACAAACGTCAAAATTAAAGGCGCGGGAAATATCTCGGAAAACATCTGATTGCTCCCAAACCCGTGCGGTAAAATCCCGGTAATGTTCGAAGTGACTCGGATCAGTGAGAAACGAAACTGACGTGGTAAAGTGACGCTTCCCGCACGCTAGATCGGTGTGTAATTAGGTATTTTACATATTGGAGTAGAAATTTTTTTTTGCGCATCGTTATTATGTGCGTTTTAGAATATAATCCACACATCGGCTGCTTATATTCGTAAAAAAAAAATCGTAGTCGTTTTAACGACTCACACTTTTATGCCAAGTCAATCATTTCATGGATCGAACGATCGAATCCTGCTTGTTCGTAACGATTCGATCCTCTTGTTCGCTCTCGCTGCCGCCCTGAGCGGTCAGAAGTGACCGAATACAGCACGACCGATCGACCGACCGAATTCGCCGGAATACGTTTCATTTGAATGGTTTAAGATTTAAATGCATGACTGAGACATTACACGGAAAAGGAATGGGAGTATTATTATATTTATTCTATAGTATTGAGTTGCGACATCGATCTGTAGATTTGCTGATGTGTTGAATTGAATATTGAATGAAACATCTATTTCGACACAGGTATTTAATTTAAACAAATTAATGGATTACTGGTACAACTTATTTTGAAAAAAGTCAAGATTCAATAAAAAGCAGTACACAGCTAACTATTATACTAACTAGAACAGAAAACATAACATATAGACACAACAATAATCCAAATTCAAATGAATCTGAATCGGTCGTTCGGACTGTTCGGATTCCGTGACTATTGCCGCTTATGTTGGCATCAAAAAGTATTGAATGAACTACTGATTGTAATGATTCGGTCCTTTTCGAAATCGGTCACTGATTGATTAGTTCCTCGTAAAATGAACGATTACCACAACACTAATGACGCCTGTCGCCACGAACAGGGCCAGACTTAGCAATCCTGTAAACAATTCAACCTTTTTTGAAATATTTTCAGGCAGGAGAGGTACTTTACAGTACAGCCTAGCACAGTTAGGCCGGCATAGTTAGGGTTGATAACAGAGAGAAATTTAAACTATTTTCCAGTTTTTTTGAGAGATTTTATTGTGAAATTGTTCGTAACCTGTAAGTGTTTAATTATGCTATGCTAGGCCAAGTGATGCCACGGCGACATTTCCTTGTATAATATGATTTTGTTGGAAATAAAGGATATTATTATTATTATTATAAATATTGACGGATAATCGGATATCCTTTGGAAATGATTTCTGTGGCATTATTAACCTTAGCGGCAGAGAGAGGTAGATAGTTTTTCGCAAGAACTAAAAATGATGCGAATTGGTAAAAATGCGTAATTGTACTACTGTGGTCGTTTTGCAATTTCAGTGGCGCGACCGTTGGGAAAATTTTATTCGAACGACATTGTCGGTTACGTATGAAGATTAAAGTTAATCGGTTTATTTTTGCAGTTTCGATTACTTTTATTGTCACGTCTTCGCATATATTAAATTCATCTTCGACGGTTTCATTCAATTCCACGTCTATTGCGTAACGTGGAATAAGATTTAATCCGTGTAATTAAACGAATGACTGTTATTTACTATTATATGTAATTAAATTATTGGTCGAGCCGCAGAGGTAATATTGTTTCCCCGTAATTAATGCAAATCGGTTTCTTGAAAATAAATTTCAAACTTCGTTTTCGTTAAAAGGCGGGAAAGACAAAAGCGCGGTTCAGTACAATATCGGCCAAGTGAATTTATATGCGGGCGATTTTGCACGGACAAATGCCGATTCCGTCGAAGACGCGGGGTGAGTACTTTTAAAAATTTCGCGGCCGGGTTTGTCGTTTTTTTTTTCTCGCACCTGATGTAATTCGCGAACGCAAAAAAAATCGGAAAATCGGATTCGGCGACAATAAGTAGCAGTCGATCACTCAATTTATTGCTTTTATCAGCGATTATTATCATACAAAGCGAATCAAAACCGCGCGTATTTGGAATTTGTGAAGATTTTTATCTCGTTCGGGCAAAAATTTATAAAGAGGGAATGTGGCGATGTGAAGAATCTTACGCGTTTTAGTTTTGACAGTGGACGTAGGGTTGGGTTTTACGAAACAATGTTAGAAAAAAAATCGACAGATTTTAAAGACGTCGATGAAGTAAAGGCTTTAAAGAGACGATGGTACATTTTGGCGGTGTACGTCTATTATGCCACTTTTAGCTGTTTCCAATGGGTCGAGTATTCGATAATCACGAATGTCGTGATGAGGTACTACAACGTGAGCGCGAGTACCGTGGACTGGACGGCTGTTATGTTTATGATCGTTTGGCCGATCTTTGTGTTCCCGTCGTCCTTTTTGATCGATAAATTGGTATGTTCACACACAAAATTTCTTTTAAAAAATGGACTGAATGTTCAGTAACTCATACTTTCTCTAAACGATTAGTTTAGTTAGTTAGATTTATATCTAATTGCTAATATCGAAGACGGACCAAGAAGTACCGCACAGCCTGCTTAGATAAAATTAAACTACCATAAAACATTTTCGATCCACGCGGCTTAGAATTTTTGTTGCAGAAGAAAGTGATAGATTCAATATCTAAATATATAAAAGAAGGTGTTTAAACGACTTGACATTTTGAGGTGACGTTTGGAACACGCCGATGCTTCACTGAAATCGTTTTCTAGAACACAGTGGTATCAGTGGCGTTTCTGGCGGCATGTTTATTTATTCAGAATTTTCTCTCTGGCTTTTTTCCATGTCTGTAAATTCGGTGATTCAGCTCGAATTTCGGTTCTTATCCGCTCTTCTAAGTCAGCCAAGTTTGGTTTTGTACACTTTAATAGTTTTGAGGTGATCCCAAAGATAAAAATCTAGGGGATTTAAATCTGGCGTACGAGGTGGCCACTCGATAGTCCCTCTTTGTCCGATTTACCGATTTGGAGACATTTGTTGCAAGCACTTTTTACATGGGGAGCTGCCCCATCTTGTTGAGCCATATGCGGTTATCAATTATCCCTATTTCGCCATTTCTGATGTTCGGCTAAAGCCAAGCTAAATGGGGGATAAGGTGCTTCCTTAAAAGAGTATAATATTATTTACCGTTGGGAATATCATTCATAAAGAAAGGCTCTATAACATGTCCAAAAATTATTCCATAGATTTAGCTTTTGTCTATCTTTTTCCTTTTTTTTAAATAGTTTTTATTGTTATTTAATTATTTATTTATTAATTCGTTAACAACCATCGTGCATAAATTAAATTCTAGTTTATTGATTAAATAATTAATTATTTTAGTGCCTTGACATTCTTGTAATTGAATTTGATGATAGGGTATGTTAAATAAATGGACAATCCCAAATGGCATAAAAAGTTTGGTAGCTTAGGGAAAAAAGCGTTAATGTGGCAACCTCGCCTATGCCACCACTAGATAATTGTTAATTTCTTCAAAACAAGGAAAATTTTAAAAATCAACTGAGAACATTTATTTTACAAAAATATGACATAAACATTTTATTCTTAAATTATAATAATCAGGGGCGCTAATGGAATTAGTAATTTTAACATAATTGTTAAATTTAAATAAAATGGTCCGGAATATTGCTAAGATATTTATGAAAAAATGTTTTTTTTAAGTTTGACAACAACTTACGTTTCAAAATCACGCAAGGCAACGCCCCTCAAAGTTGGACAGCTTAATTTTTCAACAACGTGCATTTTCTAAAAATCCTAAATATATAAATGTGGTTTTCGAATGCTGTCTGTTTTCGATTTAGGCAATATTGGCCTCACCAATTATTGATTTTCGCCTAGAGATATTTTGGAAATTTATTGGGAAACTTTAATAGTGTATATTATGCAGCAACTTTGATAAACGTTGTTTTAGTCACGAGTTGCATTTGGCATAAGCGGAGGTAGTGACATACGAGTGACCGATTTATACATACATTTTCTATGACCATTAACTTTTGATTGGTACATTTTTGCAAAACAGAACAAACATATTCTCTCAGTGACACGTGGCAATCAGAACTGCAAAACGTGAAAATGCCTAAAATCCACCGACCATGGTTGAGAAAGCTTTGCACATGTTTCATTAGTTTCATTTTAGAGTCTTGAGTAGAAAAACTGCGTTCTTGGTTCTTGGTTCTTGGTCAGGCATCACAGCAGTTGTTTATTTTAATAATATATAGTTAATATCCAGTAAACCCCCCAGTAAAATGTTATTTTCTTGCATTTTAGGGCTTGAGATTCGCTGCGTTGGTCGGGTGCTTCTTAACAGCGATAGGAGCTGCGGTGAAACTTTTCTCCATAAGCCCGGATAGATTTTCGATCGTGTTGCTGGGCCAGGCCATAGTATCCCTGTCTCAGGTGTTTATCTTAAGTTTGCCGCCCAAGTTGGCTGTGACTTGGTTCAAGCCGAACGAGGTGCGTAGTAGTTATCGCGACTTATATCGTAAATCAATCAAAACGCCAATAAATCGTTCGGAAGGTTTTGTCAATAACTAGGAGGTTTTATTTACATTGGGGCGTTCAAATTTGTGATTATTGTTTGCAATTAATTATAGCGATTGACGTGTGAGATTTAGAGTCTGAATACTTTCCGCGGATATTTCCAATTTCAACTAGTCACGTGTCTATATTAGGGTTTAGTCAAAATTCTCGGGAATGCGTTAACTAATTAGATATCGTTTTAAAATATGTAAGAATGTGGGATGATTGACATGCTTACCTACTTGTCACACGATTTTTGAAACATAGTGTCTGATAATCATAATTATGTGAGGACGTTATATACGTTATCATTAGAAGAAAATCTCAATGGTGTGTACATAACTAGAGTAATAGATGGAACACATTAAAAATAAAAATTTTTGCTATTCCTTTTTTCGTATTTGCTAGAGTTATTGAGATTTATAAGATAGCGTTCTTAATTTTTCGACGTTTGCTAAGTATTGCTTTTTACCTATAAACCTTCATATACGGATATACATACATATTTCAGAACTTTCGATTATATAGCTTACTGTAACAAGAATATTAACCCAAAACGATCTGTGAAAACCGAGGTAATGTTAGAATGGAAAAGTTGAAATATAACAATTATATGTATACATGAGTGCTTAAAATGTGTATATATTGACTCCATAAACATTTAGGGGCCTGCCCGGTTCTCATTTCATATGTCATTAATTTTAGTTTACCCCATATATAGAACATAAAACACGATATAGAACAAAAATTATAAATACTAGTAAAGTGTTTATGGGAAAATATATTTAAAACCATTATCCAGATGGATAAGTAGACATACACATATTGTATCGATATACGTTATCTTTACAAACTCAAAGTTTGTGATGAAACGCATATAAAATAATTTAAATTACTGTCGTCTGCCAAAATTGATAATGAATTTTTTTTTAATTTTATTGCCCGTTTTCGAGGGACGAATTGATGGATGTTCTGATTCTTTGCTTAATTTTAAGACAAAAGCTTCTAATTTAGGAAACACCAGAACCGGGTTTTCCAAATACGCCTTGTTTTATATTTTTTATAGTAAAAAAAAGATATACTTAATTTGGCTAATGAACTGAAATTATTAATAATAAACAAATATGTAACAAGAATAATTGTTGTATTCTCATTACGTTAAATCCAAATATTATTTAGAATGTACTTCGATAACGACTCCCCATAGCAACTTATTCTTCTAAACAAACAAATATGTTTTTCTACTCCCGTCTGTAAAATACCTAATTATCCACCGATTTAGCGTGCGGGAAGCGTCACTTTACTGCTTCAGTTTCCCTTCCCACGAATCCGAGCCACTTCAGACATTTTCGGGATTTTACCGCACGGATTTGGGAGCAATCGGATGTTTTCGGAGATATTGCCCACGCTTTGAATTTTGACGTTTGTCAACTCTGACGATCGTGTCAGTGAATGTATTCGTGTTGTTTTACGAAAATGTACCCAAAAACTAACGGTCGAAGAAAAAGTATAGTATGCAACACATCCGGTAAACTTTTTAAGTCACTCGTTTATTAAACACTCGCTCCGCTCGTGTCAAATAAATCGTGAGTCAAATGCCGTTTACCGCATTTGTTGCATAATATACTATTTTTACTTATAAATACATTAAAACGTTTGAAAACGACATGACGATAAAATACATCGCGAATTTTATTTATATCAAAATTTCTCAGGTTTCAACAGTGTGCTCTATCGGAGTATTTGGCGTGATGCTGGGAAGCGCCATGGGCTTCCTAATACCACCCATCATAGTCAAAGACGATCCTGACATTTCCCAAATAGGAGCCAGTTTAAAAGTACTCTGTTGGGGGTTGACGTTGGTCGTGGTGCCTGCTTGCGTCGCAGTCGCCATTTGTGAGTGCAGCGTCTAGCGCCCCCATGGGTGAAAATAGTTGGTGAAAAAATGTTTCAGATTTTCCACACCAGCCGGCTAACCCGCCAAGCGAAGCTCAAGCCGAGGAAAGGAGACAGGTCGAACTCGTGACCCTGAGAACTTTCTTGAGGTCCGTTAAAGGTTTGCTCAAAAATAAAGCTTTCGTCATGCAAATGTTCGGCTATGGTATCTGTTACGGTATATTTTCGGCGTTCGGGACTCTGCTGAACCAATTTATCCTGTATTACTTCCCGGTACTTACGTTCGTAGATTTTTGTGGAGCGTATTATTTTTAATGGTTCGTAACTTCTACAGGGAGCCGCCGAAGATGCCGGCAGAATGGGATTGGTGATGATTTTGTCCGGGATGGTGGGGGGTGTTCTCGTTGGGGTTATCTTGGACAAAACTCATAGGTACAAGTAAGTAATCTTTTACAGTTTGATTTTATTATTTAAGATAATTTTATTATGAATCACAAAGTTTTGAAGTTTTTTAAAAGTGAGATTTTTTAAATGTGGTCCTATAATAATAATAATAATATATACTAATACTAAAAATTTAATAAATAGTAATAAAAACAAACAATTACAAATCGGGACCCAGTTTCCATCATACTTTTTTGTTATAGAATTAGTATTATGTTCGGAGGGGATTTCTGAATTTGGCACTGACAGAACTGAGTAAAATTATCTTAGCAACGCCAGAATCATAAAATTCTCTAGGACGTGTTGATTAGGTAATATTTGATATTTTTACAATTAAGCACCGGAAATGTGACAAGAACTTAAAAATGGGAACTGTAGTATATGTAGGTAACTTATTTATCGGAAGATGAAGTAAATTCCTGTGCTTTGGGAATACAATAGAGATTGCTTAAGATGAAATATTAAATTAAATATTAGGAATCAGTTTCCTTCTGATTTTTCGCTATACAATGGGTATTATATTTAGAGGATATTTCTTAATATGGCACTGATTTCAACTTATGTTGTAAAATTTTTTGCCTATCAAAAGGGCGGTTAAGATTATAACAATTTACTCCCTATACAAAACCACGTAAAATTAGCTATTTTTACATTTATAAAATATGAATGATAAATCTTAAAATATATTTAACTGAATTTTTTACTCTTAGCAGGACACGGAAATATGACATTTGGGCAATATATTTTCGATAATAACTTTTTTCTACTCCCGTCTGTAAAGTACCTAATTACTCACCGATCTAGCGTGCGGGAAGCGTCACTTTACCACGTCGGTTTCGTTTCCCACGAATCCGAGCCACGTCACGGACATTTCCGGGATTTTACGGTACGGATTTGGGAGCAATCGGATGTTTTCGTAGATATTTCCCACGCTTTGAACGTATTTGTGTTGTTTTGCGAAAATGTACTCAAAAACTAACGGTCGTAGAAAAAGTATAGTATGCAACACGTTCCGCTCCGCTGCGCTCTGCTCGTGACAAATAAACTCGTGAGTGAAACCGCACTTGTTGCATAATATACTATAAAAATTGAATTTTAGTGGAATCACGAACAAATAAACCTTTTAAGTCTAATGGTTAAAAAAAAAGTTAATACAACCTAAGATGAAGTAATAAATTTGTAATGCGGCATGAATGTTCCTGCGCGTTGAGAATGTGATGGAGATCGCTTAATTTGAAGTAATAAGGTCTTCTTGAATATGATTTCCATGGGAAGGCGGTGTTGCCATGCGCACGTGGATATAATATTTTTCCTGAATGTTTTTGATATATTCGCATGGAACTTGTCACAATTTAATTTTCCAGGGAAACGACCTTCGCGATTTGCCTGATGTCCTGTGTGTTGGGAATACGAATAAGATGAAATATTAAATTAAATAATAGGAATCAGTTTCCTTCTCTGAATTCTTGGCGATGTAATGGGTATTATGTTTGGAGGGGATTTCTGAATATCGCACTGATTTCGACTAATGCTGTTCAATTTCTTACCTATGAAAAGGGAGGTTAAGTTTATAACAATTTACTCCCCATACAAAACCACGTAAAATTAGATATCCTTACATTTAAAAAATATAAATGATAAATCTGAAAATAGATTTAATTGAATATGATATATTCACATGCATCGTGTCATAATTTAATTTTTCAGGGAAACGACCTTCGTGATTTACCTGATGTCGACGATATTCATCGGCGGTTTGATATTCGCCCTCGAACTGAAATTAAAATTGCTCATTTATTTAGCCATCGGATGTTTCGGGTGAGCCGCTAATGAATAAATCCGTCAAATGAGCAACTAAAAACGCCGCCCTTTCATTTGACAGATTCTTTCTGAACGCCTACATCCCCGCGGGAATAGAATTCGCGACCGAGTTAACCTACCCGGCCAACGAAAGTACCACGACTAGTCTTATGACTGCAGTGTCTCAATTATTGGGAGTGGCGTTCACCCTCGGCCTGGGATGGCTCAACGCCGAATGGGGAACGTTTTGGTCGCTTTCCATTCAGTCGCTGTTACTCGCTTTGGGCACGGTTCTGACGTCATTCGTTCCCAATAGTTTGCGAAGGCAGGCCGCTTTTCAGAAAGCGGTTGAATTTAAGGAAATACCGCAGGAGGAGTTGACAAAGAACTGACTTTTAATGGAAGACATTAAAATCATTGGTGAGACCTGAAGTGTTTAGAATCAACCGAGTGTTGGTATAACCTTCTGCTCGAAAGGCGTTGCCAAATGGATGTTTGTTCCTTTAAACATCTGGGCATTTATGTAGTTTAATGCGTATTTTAGTAATTTTAATATAATAAGAAATTAATAATAGAAGACAACCGATATTCTTCTTTATAATTGCGTTTCACACCAAACGGACAGTTGAAGCAGTGATATTTATCCTTTCTCGACACCACAGATAGTCAGTTGCACCCATTTTGTTTAATTCTAAAAATATACGTGCAACTTAGTATTACTTTGTGCTTCCTCAACTATGGATTAGTATCACAAAATCAAGAATCATCTTCTTACGAGTTTAGAGCACTTTAGAGACTGCATAGAGACACCTTATTGATGACTGATTAATTGGAATATACGTACCTTCTGTAGTTGGATGTCTTTGCTTTTTACCGACGACTGTATCAGTTTTCGATTCTCAGTATGAGTATGTATATTTATTTATAAAACGTTTTATGAGTTGAGAATCTCATTAAATAAATTTGTTCTCCGCATTTGTTTGTTTATGTCGCCTATATCCTGATATTAAGCTGAAACATGCTGACAAAAAGGTAAGTGTATGTAGAAAAATATGTGCAAATTACAAATAATCAAAAAAATATTCAACCTTCATACCTCGGAACATCGATAGATAAGGACGATTGTCTGAATAACGCTACTTCAGATTATTTTACAAATAAAAATTCTAAACTAACCATTAGTGTAAGCAAAACATTTCATTTGTTTAAGTTGAACGTAAAATATTTGCTTTTGTTGTGGAGGATTTTTCCTTTATTTTTAATAAAAACCTTGTATTAAGGAACATTTGGTTATCTTCGATTATATTTTTCTAAAGGCTAAATATACAAAGTGCTAAAATATTTTCATCATTAATGTGAGTTTGATAAAAAAATATTATAAATAAATAAATAGTTCGAAATGTACATCTTGCCGAAAAACAAAATTTACTCGAGTAAATGACTCAAAGACTACTTTCTTTATTCTTCATTTATCTAATTTATTCAAAGAAATATTTAGTGTTCTGTAAAAACAATGACATAACGAGACTTAAAAAATGAACTATTTTCATAAAAATGAACAAAAACACAGTCAATAAAATGTTCAATAGCAATGCGCTGGGCACATTTGGTACTGAGCCAGACGTCAGATAACAATAGATCGGTTCGACATTTTTCGTGTGACTTTTATTTTAACTCTAAAATCTAGAAAGTTTGTTATTGAAAAACGAAAAAAAAAATGAATAAACATTTTAAAATCGATTCTCGGTGTGAAGCTAGAGCTTTGCGCGAGGCTACGCCGCGTGACGTCAGTAGCCAGACAGCAGACGCCACGCTGTGCCGGACAACAGAGGATTACGAATTCTCATAAACGTTTGTTTGTGGCAAACGCAATGCTTCAAGGTTATCAAAGGGCTGATTCGCGAAATTTACCCCATGTCAATGTAGAAACGGTGTACGAGCTTTTGGAAAATAACGCAAATTTAAACGAAGCTGTTCTACATCCAAATTTTTTTTGTTTAGCACTAATGGGTAAAATTTAATTCTGCCTTAAAACATGGTACATATGCCGGCAAGGTGAGGAAAGCTATTATCTGCTTTTTTTTCTGCATTGAATATTCTGTTTTGCATGCAGTAAATGATCTATAATCTACAAAATATTATATATTTTTTGCCGAATCAAAGTTCCCTCTTGCATTGGCTAAGCGATCAGGCAATAAAACTGAAGAGTGTCTCATAAGCGAATACATAAGCGTATTTCGCCTTCATGAGAACGTAGCTTTACTTTCAATGTTTTAAAGAAAATGATACACAAATATAGGATAACAGAAATGTACGAAGCATCGTACACCTATGGTGGGGGATAACCAACTGAAATTATTTGATTTTGATAACTTGTTTAGACTTCTAAAAATCGAAATTACTTTTTAACGAAAATTGGGTTGATTCGTGATGTGAACTATATGATGTTTTCAATGAGATACGTTCTAGGAGAACGACCAGTCACGTAGATATAATCTCAGAATCTATTTTTTTGGAGTCCACTTGGAAAACATATTTTTCAATTCAGGGAGACTTTTCGGTTGAGGGCTCCGCAGCCGGTACTCTCTGAAAATATTCCGCGATATCTTTCTGTCTTGTCCTTTTCACGCTGAGCACTTGCTGTTTTGTAAAGATTAAATGTCTGTACTCTAAACCCAACACCGATTATTATGTGTCTGGCTACTGACGTCACGCAGCCTAGTCTCGCGTAAAGGTTTCGTTTTCTAGCCTCGCGCCGACATTTGTTTTTTTAATGTTTACGGCGGACGTAAATGTGAATATTTTGCCCTTAATTTTTTTTATCGTCTTTTAAAAAAAAATCTTTCGCTTTCAGTTAAAATAGAAAAATGTCGAACCTACCTATTGGGTCCAATAGTTTTGGAAATAGCATGTAATTTCCTTTTTACTGATTCCTCAATGCGAATCATCATGTACATATATTATAATGACTTTATTCGGATGTGGTGTTTAGCGACGATGTTCGATTGTAATTTAGAATAGTTCCAAGTCAAAAGATCTGCCAACAGAAAACTTGAAAAGGAAACTCTTCAGTTACGCATTGCCCTGTTGCCAGTAGAATAGAAAAACCCGGCTTAAGCCTTCGACGCCTTAAATTGGGTAATTTCGTCGTGTACGACCTTTCGCATCTGAGGACAGAATTAATATTAGTGCTAGATTTTATCGTGTTCGTGGGACAATGGGTACGATTGCTTATCTGTCGCCGTTTGTTTTAGTTAATTCGGAAATGAAAGTGTAAATGTTTAACATCTGATTTAAAATTTGCTCCTCTCAGTTTTTGAAATGGGATAATTTGGTTTGGTTCCTAACAGAGAAAATTGCTTTAATTACTTCGTGCGACTTATTTAATTGTAAATATCGCGCCAAAATCTCAATACTTCAGAGCCTTGTTGTCGCGAAGTGCCTGAACCCAGGTAAAATAATGTTGGAAATGAAAATAAGCAGCAACGAAAAAACGCAAGTTTACAAGAGGCGATGGATAATTTTACTTATATACGTGTCATATTCGGCCGCCAACTCATTCCAATGGATGGAATACTCGATTATATCCAGCATCGTTATGAGGTTTTACAAAGTTGGACCCACCGACGTGGATTGGACGTCAATCATATACATGGCTTTGTATCCTCTGTTGGTCGTTCCTGTTTCGTACTTTATAGAAAAGAAAGTAAGATTTTTTGTCGCTAATATTGAGATATACCGGATCTTTCAGTAAAGGCAACGAGGTACGGTATTAGGGAAAGAGACGGCTTTAAAAATTTTCAAAAAAAATTGTTAAATCAATCGGTCATAAGAAAATGCTGAAAATTATTTTTGAGTTTCTGAAACGGCTACCATTTCTATCTTAATTTTTAAAACTCGAGTTTAAAGTTGAGATAAACTCTATTCTTTTTTGTTTAATGTTCTAAAAGTAAAATTAATGTTAACAATTTTAACAAAAATCTGAAAAATATTAATAAAGAATTTAATTGTTAGTATCCTTGCCCATTTTCAATTAATTTCAAGAATTGTGCATTGAAATAATCAGTATTTTTCGATCGATTTCCTCTAGGGAATGGATTAGGATGAACTCGTGAGTTTCAAATAAGATATTTTTAATGCCATAAACACAATCACACTATTTAAAAGGATCGGCAAACTAGTAACTGGCACGAGAATGAAATAACATGATGATATGTTTTATGTATAATTATTTTTCATTTTTTAATACTTAAAAACCTCTATGGTTAATAAAATTAGTTAGTCTCCAACAATGGATTAGTTAACACTTGCTTAGCTGCTCTCTTTTTTGCTGAAGATACGCACTTCAGTGCTCGAAGCATAGACTGACGATGGCAGTTTACTTAAAACAAAAGGATTTGTAATTGGTGTGGAGGAAGAAAATTGTTTCTTAATTTTTTGACTACATAATAAATTAGCATTTTTTTTGGATAAATTTTTGATCATTGGTCTTTTGTTAAGATAAGCAATCGCAATCATCTCACTTACAGCCTAGGGAAGCCTAGGAAGCCCTTTTTAGGGGAATCCGGATTTATTAAAATACGTTAAAATGTTCGAACGCCTCCAGTCTTTTTTGTGAGAGCAATTAAAAAAACAGCACTTACGCTAACTATGGTCAATTTAAGCAAACTTTTGCAGAAATTTCGGAAAAATAATATGCAGCACTTTCTATCGCCCGATTTACTTTTTTTTTTCAAATTTCTAGAACTGTCCGTTTCCATTTTCGTTGCCGTTACTGGGACATCTGGTTCATAGTGGCTTTTAGAAAATAAATAATTTCTGAGATTCGATTACATGCACCACCAATATGGCTTACAGGATACTCAGCATATTTCATAAATTTTACAGGGTCTGAGGATGGCAGCTCTTTTCGGCGGAATCGGTACTTTCTTAGCGGCAGCAGTAAAAGTATTTTCCGTTCACGAGAACAGATTCGCCTTGGTAATAATAGGTCAGGGTATAGGTTCGGCGGCACAGGTATTCGTGCTTTGCTTACCGTCAAAAGTCGCAGCTGTTTGGTTTAAACCGAGTGAGGTATTCAACATGTACGAAACTTTTTACTACTTAGGGATGGGATTCGCTATAAGTACTACCTGATCCCACCCCTAATGGTCACCACGTGCTACAGAAATATTGTTGGAATACTTTCAGGTTTCTACGGCTTGCGCCTTGGCAGTATTCGGTACCCAATTGGGCTTCGCGCTGGGATTCGTAGTACCATCGTCCATCGTGACGAATCACGATGACTTGGATTTGGTGGGCGCGGGTTTAAGAAAACTCTGCTGGGTTATTTTTATTTATATGGTTCCCGTGGTGCTCGCTATATTCTTCCGTAAGAACTAACCCAAGAAAATTGCTCACAGGCAGAGGAATTTGTTGTAGAATTTGAAGATCTGCCACCTTTACCTCCAAGTGTCTCGCAGATTGAGGAACGCAGGCGGATACCTCTACCGTTCTTAAAGTACTTGAAATTTTTCGTAAAGCTTTTCGCCAATAAGGGTTTTGCTCTTCATACTGTGGCGTACGGACTGAACATTGGGGTGTTTGCTGCGGTGGGAACCCTTTTGAACCAATTCATTTTGGAATATTTTCCGGTCGGTGAAATAACCCGATTGAGGAAAAACGAAGTAATCTTAGTGTTGTAGAGCTCAGAAGAAGATTCTGGGAGAATAGGGTTGCTCATGGTAGTCGGTGGAATGGTAGCTTCCTTAGGGTTTGGTATTATTCTGGACAAAACGCATACCTACAAGTATATACTTATTTCTGGTTTACCCACATGCTACTAGATATATATAAGGGTTGTAAATACCTCGACATTGATGATATTTTAACCTGTACTTTACGCTACTTTCTTTCTAAAGAGATATCTTTTTCCTTTTCACAGAGAAACCGAAAATTGTGTGATTGTTGAAAGTGGTTGAAGGCGAGGGTTGAAATGGCAGGTCTTATTGTTGGGTTGAAATTAAAAGTACCCATATTATTAGCAAAGCCTCTTTATTTATATCTAGTGGCTATACTGATTCACTATCTGTACATACAAAAGGCACTTTTTTTTAAATGCTTTTATTTCGATATTTTTCAAAAAATTAAAAGTAATTTTAAAACAAGTCTACACCTCTCAAGTAACCAGATTTGGTGCCTATTCGTACATAACATTCGTACATTTTAGGGAAACCACCGTGTTTATTTATTTTGCGGCCGTAATTGCAACAGTGGCAACGATGTTTTCGCTGCAGACCCGGTCCAAACTTCTGGTCTACGTCAGCTTTCTCATACTAGGGTTAGTCCCATTGACTGGTTTGATCAGAATTGCTCTTCATCGTAAGAAGTAAACTTCGTTACTACGCCTATCTTTCTATGTCTAGCTTTAATTATTTGCCTAATCTCAAAATTTGAGTTTGTTGAAGAAAAGTTTGTTCTGTACAGGGACATTTAAAATGATCGATTTTAGCGCTATTTTCTCAATTAGTGTGGAAGACAGTCAAGACATACAGGGTGTCTGGAAATGATGTACAAAAAATTTTAGGGTTGATTCTAATTGAGTTTAAGTTCATATATTATTTTTTCGGAAACTCAACAAACTTTTGGCATACTTTGTTTGTTTTTTTTAGACCAAATTTGACATAAAACGAATGGATCTCATGTCCATGATCTTAGCAAAATGTACTCAATTTTTTTTATTTAAATCATTTTCCACATTTTAAAAGCTTGCAGTAAAGACACCTTTAAATTTAAAACATACCCTCTTGTTACATTAGAGTAAAACGCACCGTTTCCAAGAAAATCCAGGTTTAAAATATTATCTAATAGCTATATGAAGAAAATTAGTGTGTTTTCACAGCATGTTTTGATAATTATTGAAATTAAAAATGATTAAAAGACAATTGGAACCGGTTTATTTTATTGTGGAATAATTAAAGTTTAATGGTCTTTAATTGCGTATTTTTAAAATTAGTAAAATACTTCAAACAAAAAAGTTTGAGGACATTGTCTTTATCATTACGTCAAATTTAGTCTAAGAAAAGAAAATAACAATAATCGACAAATGAGAAAAAAAGTTATTAAGAAAAATTAATTAAACATTTTTTTTCAACCCTGCAATTATCTATTTTTGAGTTTTTCAAAAAATACTGATGAACTTTTTTATTAATATTTCGATCAGAATCGGCTCCTTAATTTTGCTCTTCACCTTGCGAACACCCTATATGCATTTTTTCCGCAGTAAGCATAGTGACTTCTTAAAATTTATTTTATATTATAGAGATTGCTCCAAAAGTGCTAACAATATCAAAGTTGTGCTTTATGAATAGCACTGCATATTCTACCATTTTTGAAGATGCCTAATTATTAACTATTCTTAAATAATTTGAATTTTGTCAAAATTTCGTTTTATTTGCTTATCTATCTATTCAAATCCTAATTATAAAAAACTTCGCTATACCGAGTATCTAAAAATTTCTCTCTAGGAGAAACAAAATTTTGTTTTTATTTTGATTGGCGTAAAACGGATATTTAAGTTATACTTAGTTAAACAATGAAAATTTTGTTCAATGAATACAGTTTTCAATTTTTGAGTATTATAAAATAAAGAAGATACTTAGCGCTCAGCTGCAGCCAAATCTGGGACTACATTGCGATATTTCTTCCTAGGTGTTTCACCAACGCTTATATGCCTGTAGGATTTGAGTTTGCGGTAGAGATAACTTACCCGGCAGACGAAACGACCACGACTGGTATTTTAAATGCGATGACACAGTTAATGGGTGTCGGGATTACCCTCATTTTGGGAATGTTCAACATGCGTTTCGGCGCTTTTTGGTCGTTGGGTAGTCAGGCTGTAGTCCTTTTAGTTGGAGCGATAATAACGTCCTTCGTACCTAACGAACGCAGAAGACAGGACGCTTCGAATGTGCAACGAGATGGTGACGAGAAAGAATTGAAATTGTTGAATCAAAACGAGTTTCAAGCAGTATAATAAACGAATGAAGAATTGTATTTAGAGTTTTCTTGTGGAATTAAAAAATTATTTGACATATTTCCCAGCTAGGATTCTTAAGGCTGATGCTTATTATATACATTTCCTAAAAAATAGAATGAAACTTTAGGAGTTAAAAAAGTTAGGCCTCTATAACCTTCATGTAATAGTTTATTGTTATATTATCCTTCTTTAGACCTCTGTAGATGTTACCTCTTCAAACTCGATCTAGAAGGTCTCGCTCTAAAAAATCTGCATTCAAAGATCACTCTGACGCTGTATATGTTACACCGCTAAAAACTCGCGTAGGCCCTATAAGCTTGCTGCAAAAGTTCCACTTCTAAAAGCTTCAGCTCCAAAAGCTCCCGCTCTAAAAGCCCCGATTCTAAAACCTTCCGTTCTAAAAAGTTCCCCTTTAAAAGCTACAACTCCAAAAGCCCCGTATCTAAAATGACACGATTTAAAAGCCACGGATCTGAATCAGCTCCAGCATTAAAACATCTGCCACTAAAGATTTTCCTTTTAAAAGCAGAGTTTAAGATAAAAACTTAAACCCTTCAAGTGTTGTCAAGTGTCAAAAAACAATATCTTAGGCTAAAACGTGAGCATCACAACTTTATATACTATATATAAAATACATAATAAGTGAAAACGCAAGCGACAAAAAAATGTATTTTTAGTGTTAAAATTAAGGTACTACTGAGCACCATTGGATTTAATAATTACACACGCACGTATCCTCACATTCTTTTCCGGAGCCGAATCGGATATATGTTGTCCTTCGACCTTACCGAAATATCCGTCGTCAAAGCAAGATCCTTCAAGCTACCATCCGCTTCTATCTCGTACTTTTGCAGGACCGTCGTCAAAATTATCTTCAAGGTCATTTGTGCGTACGTTTTGCCTACAACCGACGCGACATCTGATTAAACTATTTTTCTTTAAAAATTAGCAAATTGTTACCCACTGTTACATTTTTGATGGTTCAAACTGTGACGCATTTTTTCATTTTAAAATTCAATTTAAGCGAAACCGAACCAATTCGATAAATAATCAATGTTGTCACTTAAAAAGTTTTGTTTATGGGATATTTGGTGGTCTAATTTGGTTACTTTTTAAAATGTCTGTCATATTATACCGAAAATAGTAAATACATTAAAGTTTCATTTTTGTAAAAACCATGTTTATTATAGCATTTTTGAATTTTACGTATATATTATATTATTATAGAGAACTTTTCAACTTATACAGGTGTCAAAAAATGGATTCTAACTTAAAGTGTTTAAATGAAACGTCATATATTGACTTATCAGGATTATTAGGGTATCCTATAGCTTACTTACAGAAAAAATACGGGTGCTGGAGTTATTCGGATTTGGGTGTTTAATAACAAATTAAGTCAATAATAGTTCAAGTTTGCTCGAAGCTCGAGGCTGTAATTCGAGCAAAAATAGTTGTAACTTACCCACGCAGCCTCGTGGTCCGGCGCTAAACGGTATGTAAGCGTAAGGGTGCCTCGACCTCGCAGCTTCCGGTAAAAAATGATCCGGATAGAAGTCATCGGGTCTCTCCCAATAGCGTGCGTCTCTGTGGACATTGTGAATCGCGAGAACGATAGACGTTCCCTTTGGTATCTCACAACCCGCTGAAAATTGCTTGCTAAATCAAGATTAATAGAAGTCGGCGTCGCTATCACCAGCAAGCAAGCAAATGCAAGCCGTTCCACTGAGTAATTTTTTTATTTGAATTTTGAAGACAAGGAGGATAGCTTACCGATGTTAGCGTCATCACTTGCCACCCGCACGATGAATGGTCCAATCGGAAACAGCCTCAAAACTTCTTTGAGGAACATGTCCATATACTCAAGCTTCGGCAGGTGTTCTTGGCGGAGCGCTTCGTCTCTACCGACTACCCTGACAATTTCGTCAAACACTTTGGTCTGATACTCGGGATATTTTCCCAGCATGAGCATCGAAAACGAGCAGATCACCGCTATCGTGTCTTCGGCCTGAAACGGCCGCTCGAATTAGAGTTCTACTAATGGTTTAAACAATTTTTATACCGCCGACTGCAATGTAGCCATGTGGTCGATCATTTGCTGGTCGCTGATTACAAAGTCCGGCACTTGCCTTCTTATCTCTACCATCTGATCTAAAACTGAACGGGTCCCGCATTCCTGCTTTGGCAGTGCATGTCTTGCTTCGACTGCTTTTAAGCACTGGAAGGTGAGGTCGAATGCAAATATTATATCAGAGCTTTTTTCCCTCTATTACGTTTTAATTCTAGTGGAAGATCGATAAATGCTGAGTGTGTAACGATTATCATAATACAACTACAACCTTCAACTAGTTGTGGTTGGTGCAATTCTGGTTGTTTTTTGTTGTGCCAGTAGACTTTATTTTTCAAAAGGTTCTCATTAATTCGTCGGAGTCTTTCGAAATGGTAGAGTTTTCCGAACGATATACCGTTTTCACAAACCTTTTATGGTTTTGATTTCGGAATGAGGTTAAGACCCGCCTGTTGTCAGCACGTGTACCACAAGACAGGGACGCAATATGTGAATCCGAACAGAACTGTGCCGTGTGGACTATTGTATTTTGAGAGTAGAATTTAAAAGTAAAAATAGTTTTTTTACTAGATGAACTAATAATAATCGAGGAATCTCACCGATAAAACTCTACACAAATCGGTCAGCTTTCAGCATTTGTGTGCACGAAATACCGAAGTACGGTTCTGGAACTTCATTGTGGAATTGCGAATTGCGACGTAGGCCCGAGGTTAGACCTTCATAAAAATTTACCAAAGTTAAATACCGGATTATGTCGTAAAAACAGTATATTGTTTGGAAAACTCTACTAATTCAACGTTCTGATTAGAAACGCCATTGCATCACAACGAATACAACTAGAACTAGTTGTACTGGTTGTTATGTCAGTAAGAGTTGTTTTTTGTTACCTTACTGGACTTTATTTCTTAATGAGTTTTAGTTTAAGTTTGTGAAAAATTTGGGTCTCTTAAAACATCGAAATACATTAATTTTTCGGTATTCTGAATGAAATAATTCTTTTACATTATTGTAATGCGAACAATTGAAGGAAATAAAAACACATTGAACTTGAAACGATATTGATGATGAATTTCTCGACTTTACTGCAATTTACAGCTAACTAAATAAAAAAATATAAAAAACAAGAATGTCAGAAGAAACTACTGATATCGATTTGGAAAAATCCGCACAGGGCTATAAATTTATATATAAAACACATTATAAATAAAAGAGTCGTATCGTTGGTCGGTGTCTATTTCAATAATGTCTTACCCGATTAAAAAACTCTTGAATGACTCTGATGGCGGCCTGTTGTTCTGAATAATAATTTGACAACATGTACAGAAAGTCATTTTGCAACCAAAATTTTATTATTCTTCTGTGAACAATTTCGTAGCACCTGAAAATCACAGCGTAAGTGTAGAAATGTGATTTGTCGCCATTTACCTAGCGATATGACACAATAATTCGTCCAATTCGCCGTTTTGGGCGTCCGATCTTATCCCCAGAACAGTCTCTAAAACGACAACGAGTTGGATAATCAAAATTGAAAATACAGGCTGAACTAACCAAGATGAGGCTGAGGAGCACTTCTGAGCAGGGTCCTACTTTGAAAAACTTTTCTAACTGGGTTGATAGATAGACTATATTATAAAAACATTGCAGAGAGAGTTCCAAAATTTTGCAGTTCATAAAACTTATATTTTTTCAATGGGACACCAAGTACTAGAATTAAAGAATCACTCACTACAATGAAAAACCAGATGTATTTTTGGAAACCTCAGATGCAATATAAAAAAATAATCTATAGGCTGCTTAATCAAAAAACGAAATTCTATATTAATGCGATTCACAATTAGACCATATTTTGTGTATGATGACACTGTGTATGTTACGTTTAGATTTTAAAAAAGCTTTTAAGACTTGCATAAATTTTAAAACATTTTTTTGAAAATACTAACACCCAGGAGTAAACCCTCGCTCATTCGTGGTTGATCAACTTCATATCACACGTAACCAACCGTTTACAATGTCTGTCGTAGCCCTGTGTATGTAATGTTCAACGTTGAACGTTGCTCCGTCAACTTTCTGACTTAAAATGTCCGCCAAAATTTGCGCGTGCCTTAAAATAGCGCGGAAATATTTCATTACGGAGCGTTTCAGAAAAAGAGGCGATATCAGTTTTCGGTCTTTCTTCCATTTCGCACCTAAAATCGCGTTGACGCGTCAGCGGCGAAATGTCGGTAGCCTGGCGACTTACCGGAAGAGGTGATGAGTCCCTCCCCGTTGAAAACTTTCAGGAATTTGTAGATATCTTCGGATTTGTTCGAAAACTTTGCGTACGGCAGTATTTTCTAGAGGAAAACACCTATTCACTTTTTTGCGCCTAATCAAATACTTGTCAATCTAGGCAACACAATACCTCGATGTGTTCGGCGTCCCTCAACATGACGGTAAACTTTGGGCCGAACCAGAACCTCATCGGACTCGGATAACTGCCCACCAATTCCACCGCTCTATCAAAAATGTCTGAAACGGTGATGTCATCAGACCGCCTATCGACATTTAAAACATCCCACCTTCGTCTTTACACCAGAATTCTAAAGCATTTCCAACTAAGGGTAAAATACGCGGCCCAGGCAATTTTCTCGATAACACTATTTCCTTCCGATTAAGCCATAGCCAGCAGACGACGAAGAATATCAAGACCAGCGAGAATTCAGAAAGCCACCAAGCAAAGGTCACCTAAAATGTGTTGTATATATTATATATTTTTTCGGTCCAGTGACTAAATTGAGCACTTTTTTCTATAATTACTGAATAATGCTGATATCAGGATAACTAAACTTAAAGAGAACCAAATAGAGAGGGAGAATAAGATGAAGAAACGTTATATCAGTGGATATGATTAAGAATTTTTTTATTTTCCATAGGACATCATATTGATTTCTGTCTAAGTAACTGACATGATTTAATATAAGAAGTACTTATCAGATTGTTAATGCAGCCAACAGCATTGTATTATTTTAAAAGAAACTTATACAGGCTATTGCGAAAAAACTGAAACTGAAACTGAAAAACTGTTCTGAGTTTCAGTTTAGCTCTGAAGAAGCCAACAGAATGCTTAGCGAAATGTCAGCAAGTTCGATTCATCAACAAACGACGCAGGAAGAATCCAGAAGATTTGTAAATAGGAACAGCAATGTAGGTAAAAGAACGTTCGAGGAATTGTAACAGAGCTTCGATAGCGCACATTTGTTTTAGGAGTATCAGCCCCAAATTTTACTTTTTCTACTCCCTACTTTAAAATTCGCAAATATTCTTAAAGTTAAAACGCTAGTTTCTTTAAACACTGTCACGACTCACTTGGGCGTTTTCGGTATTTTAGTCACAAATTTGGGAGTGATTGGATGTTTTTAGTAGATTTTGGACACTCATAGTATTTTAAAGTTGTCTCCAGGACTAAGGAATGTATTCATGCTGTTTTACAAAAATGTCCAAAAACTCATAGTCGTAGAAATAGGTAACGTCGGTAAACTTCTTCAATCACTCGTTCATTAAACAAATCAAACTTGTGGCCAAAGTGGCATTTATCAAACTCATCAAACGTATATACATACTATTACTAAATTTTTGTTAGAGCAAAATGCAAGTTCTTGGTCAATTTTTTTAAAGTGGTTTCCCCTGTTCCACCAATTTTGGCTCTGCAAAATTGTTCACCTCGACGACAGTTACACCACTTTTTCCATGATAATTAAAGCACATTGTTGTGCTGCGTAAACCAATCATTTACAGCAGGATATGAGCTGAAAAACTGATGATGAAGCTGACGCTCTGGTGGTAACCAATGATACTGGAATTTTGTCAGTTTTTCTGCACCATCATTCAGTAATCTAAATTTCGCCAAAGACACGCCGATTGGTGATTCGCATTAGAATTTGCAAAAGCAGATAATTAAATAAAAACAAATTTTTTTCATTAATCTACCTCAACAACAACACTTGCTCATAAATAATTTATTTTATTTCTCTTCGTTTTTGTTCACCCTACTAATAATTGTCAAGACATTCGCCGCAAAAAACGGCACTGGGGTCATTTTTCTCTTCGGACTGAGAACTACGTTGATTTTCCAAGGCTTTAATAACAATTTTATGTAGAATTTAATGGAGAATATAAAAAGTTCTGAGACATTTTCGCATAGAACTTACGGTTTACGAGCAAAACTCCGAACAGAATCGTGAAATCATCTATAGAGGGTGATTTTTTGATAGAAAGAGGATGAAGCTCCTACCGGGAGGATGGGAGCTCCTCGGATTTGCATAATTTTTTTATTTTATTCGTCGTTTTTACGTCTAATTTGCTTAGATTGCGATGCTGTGAATGATGTGAAGTCTTGCAAGATGTAAAAAGGTATAGGACCACGCGAGATTCATATTTTCATTTTTCATATTTCTAATATTACCGCAGTTAAATAATTAGAAAAAAAATAGCGTATTTTAGATTTTACTTTGCTATTAAACCACGGTTTTGGTAAATTTTACGCATATGTTTACGACAAAGACTCACCATCTTGTTAAACAATTACCGTATAGATCACGTCACAATATAACGACGCGGGATGATACTGAGAACAGTTGCAAAAAAGTAAAAACTGAAGCATGGTAATTGTTGGGAAATCGCGTTGACGAGTGCGAGCGACATGAAGAAGTAGAATTTTTATTTTCAACCTGTTCTCGAATTTCACAATCTCGTGCCGCAATCTTGAACTATAACACAATTTCCAAGAAGAAGGTAGATAAAAAAAACATTGCGTTATTTGAATACTAACAACGGATAGACGAAAAAATATATTGTTTAATAGGAATTTTGTCCCAAATCCGCACAAACCGTTGCACTCCCAATTATCATTAGAAATCGCCCACAATTATCAAACCTGCGCAATTATGCACGTTAATTAATAGCATGTAATGAAGTTTTTAATTCGCTTAAATAAATATCGGTCCGATACCCTGTAATTAAGACCAGTGGTGTGCGAACCGTATCAAAGCCTAGGCAATGACGTCCAAGCAAATGCAAAATGCACTTTTAAAATTTAAAATTATTATCTTAATATTTACAAATACGTGATTAATTTCATTGCTGCCTAAATTAAAATTAAATTAGTACAATACGTCATTGTAATACTTTATTAGTAAAATATTTATATAATATAATGGGTATCGAGGTTAACGACAATGAGAAAGATTATTTCAAATAAGCATACCTGATTTTCCTTTATACATATTTTAAATTATACTTATATTTCTTACTTTAGAAAGTCTTAAAAATAAACTTAAGCTCTACCCTGATATATCATTTATCATAACCGAAATATATTATTATTATTGATAGCAACATTTTGAAGTGGGGCTAATTCATTACATTTATATTCTACACGATAAATAAAAAAACTTATAGTTTTATAATTATAAATACCTTAAAATAATAAATATATTATTATTGTTACCACGATTACCTTAAGTTATTTTAGTACTAAATAGTGATTTATAGATTCTAAATTGCTTCAATAGTTTACACAAAATATTAAGTTGTGGAATTAAAGTAATTGAAACATCTAAAGTAATAACAATTTGTAAAATCTATTCGTTGTGGTTTTAAATTTTTTCTATTTTATTAATTTTAAATTTACTCATCGAAACTGATTTTTATTATTAGCATATGACGTAAATTAAATTAAATTTTACTATAGTGTATATTTATAGGGTATGTTTAATTTATTTTTTATATAGATTATGTTATTTGTAATCTCTATATTATTACTATTAATTATTAGACCAAGCCTAGTATCAATTTTATTAGGGAGGAAAGGATTAAGTTTAGTAACTTATTCGTTCGTAATTTACAATGAAAATATTATTTAAATGTTGAAAGAATGTTCAGTTATTTTATTTATTATGTTAGATACAGTAAAGAGAAATCAGTAAAGAGAAACTTTATTGGTACGTTTATAAGTTTAGGCGATATGGACACAAAATCGGTGATGACGATTATTATGATTATTAAGCAATTCATTAATCATAAGGCATCATAAAAGAACACAACACGAATCAATCGGTTTCAGAAACAGTAATTTATGTTTAAAAAAGAGTCAGTTTGGTTTCGACGAAAAAATAATTGTTTTTAATTTTCAGAGCCTAATTTTCATTAGAGTTGAAATCTTTGTATGGAGGCACTTGTATGTGAAATTTGTTTTTATAAAATTTCAATTTTACTTTTATTTTATTTTAACCAAAACGAAATAAAACTATGATAAAAGTTACCAAAAATAACTCAAACACAGTATATTAAGTAGGGTGTGGAGATAATACCCGAAAAACAAAATAGGTGAGATATTCTACACGGAACCGGGAAACGGGAACAAAAGATATTAAAAGTTGTTTAGGAAATAAATTAAATTTTTAAATTTTAAGAGTCAGAAAAGCCTAATTTGTGGCAATGTTGGGGTATACACATCGAGAATTTTGCATGAAGGAATCTGTAAGTCAATTGACTAACCAACTAACCAAAACTAATTTAACAACAATATATTAAGTAGAGTGTGGAGATTAAACCTCAAAAACAAAGTAGGTGTGATATTCTACAGGGTTAAAGAACCGGAAACAAAGGATATTCAAAGCAGACTTTCTTTACGTTCGAGTGCCCTTGCATTTACCGAGCGGCGTTTCGTCACTTTTGATATTTAGGTGTAAAAATCGGGGGCAGCGCTGCCGCGCGCGATACCCGCGTCATTGAAAGTGCATTTGAACGAATGCACAAAGTATTTCGCAAACACGATTTTTTTTTCGTAACGCGAAAACAGGTTCGAATTAACTCTTGACAAAATTTTGATTATTACTTATTAAAGACGCCGTTTAAGTTTGACGACGTGCACTTTGCGACCCACGTAGCCTATTCGAAAGAACTACGATCGTTGTATTATTCGCAATTACCCGCCCCCTGCGCGTGCATGGCGACGAGACAATTAAATTCTTATCGAAGAACAAAAGCACACTTTGCCCAAAATGATATTCGATGTCGCGTATCAAAAAATTCACGGTGTACACGGTGGCCACTTCTTCAATGGGATTGTATTTATAACTAACGACCTGAAGCGAAGAAATTATTAGTTGAGAATTGTTTTAAGAAAAGCAAATTATTTGATTTTGGTATTTCCTTAATCGTTAATCTTTCTCGAGTGGTTTGAGACTGGAGAAAACTTTCGCACTATAAAAATGCATAAAAAAACTAAGTACTTTCCTTTTGAGAAACTTTCACGCCTTAGGGTGAAATTTAATTTTGTTGGTGTTATTAAATTATATAAGCTAATTAAATTAATATACATGACTTTTTATTTATTATGAATGAAACTAACTAAAAAAAACTTTTGCTAAAAACAATCCAAAAATCCACGAAAATACAGGGCCTTTTATTTAAAATTTAATCTAGTAGTGCAATAAAGTGAATTCCGAAGACACTTATTTTGAACCCGAACACTTTTGTATAACACTTTTGTTTCTAAAAATTCGAAATCAGTGTGCTAGGAGGGAAATAAAAAAGTAAGATTTGGGTTTTTTAAAAATATTTACTAGTCCACACCTGATAAATTAATTTCAATTTAATTCAATCTACCCTGTACCCTTTAATGGTTAAATCCCATTGAAAAGTGGCCACTGCGTATTCAACGTTCGTTGAATATCTGAACACGTTATGAATAAAATATTCGGAAACTTATACAGCGCTGGATATTCCATAATGCCTCATTAGTCTGAACTACGTGTCCAATTTTTTTTATGTTTATCGTAAAACCAGCGTCGAGGGGGACACTAAAACATGGTCGATAATTTTTTTTTATTATTATTAGAAAATTCTATTCTGGTGAAATTGACTGGTCAGGGTATATAGGAAACCATCCTTTGTTGACTACCGCTTTAAAAAATCCATCCTTTTTCATCCATATAATGTATCTCAAACTATATCGTCTCGCCTTTTGACGGACACTTTTTTTTACCTTTAAACCATCTATTGTTATTTTTGGTATCAATATTTCCACTGATCTGTTAGTGGCAGTGTTGACAAAACTCTTTTTAAAGGGCGTTTTCAAAAAATTGTTTTGCGACAATAACTATATCAATACGGGTTGTGAAAAATATCGTTGATCAATAATTGACTTTCAATCTAACAGCACAAACAATGGTGAACAGGACCTAATAAGAAGATATTGTCTTTATCAAAGTACCTTGGATAAACGAAACTAGACGAAGAAAAAAACCATTATTACTATTGCTCGTGCCACCCTCCATAGAGCTGTTTGTTGTTTAGAAAATTGTGTTTTTTTTCCTGAAAATATAATTTACCTAGCTACATATTATGCACGACTTCTCATAAATTTAATATAAATCAATATTTCAATACTATTCTTTCTATGTACGTCCAGGGACTGCTATAATTCCTCCTTGAATCCATAACACTTTTAAATATATACTATAAATATATACTTAAGAATATTTGAATATAAACAATTAAACAATAACAACGTTTTATTTTGCTAATGATGGTATATTTTTAGAATGGAAGAAAAAAAGCGCATTTTGCTATTAAAATTAGACATCGGGGTTACCGCATTGTCAATTTTCTTTTTTTTTGGAAAGTTTTATTCTTGTGAATCTTTTTTTTGTTGAAAAATAGCATCCACACTTGGTTTTACTTATTATTATTCTTAATTAATGTCTTAAAAAGACGTCAATTTCCGTTTAATATTAAAATGTAGGTACACAGTATTAAATGTGTAAACAAATTGTTAGTTTCATTACATCCGATTTGTTAGACAGTAAAGGAAAATACCGACAAATTGAATTGAACGCATTTTAAACGACATATTACACGTTTTAACTGAAATTAACCAGAGAGACGAGCGAACCAAGCAAATAGTTACAATTTAGCTGGCCGTATCTTGTTTTACAGCTGTTTTTTTCATTGTATGTTTAATTTTGTTTGTTGTTTAACCAAGAACGCATCGTTTAATAGTTGTCCTTTTAAATAGCGGCAACGGAAGTGTAATTAGAGGTTAACGATAGATAAAAAAAATGTTTTCTTGGACAGAATTTATCCGAAACGCCAATGGCAGGAGCTTTTCTGAACGGATTTTGCATTGCCACCAGCCGTGACTGGGTCAGGAACGCAAATTGCTAGTTATAAAAATGATATTGGGTCACTTATTGATATTAAGTCTAGTTAGATCAGCGCAGTCGAAGGGTTGATCCCGCAGACGCAGTGATGTTCTTTCCTGTTTTGTTCGGGTTTTGCTTGTTCCTGTTTTTCGCGTACAATTGGCCCAGAAGGCATTTGTATGTTGCGGCTGCGCGATTACCGGGACCGCCTGCCGTCTTACCCCTTGTCGGAAATGGATTTAGTTTTATGTGCAGAATTGAAGGTAGAAGTGTTACTCAAATTCCAATTCCTTAGTTTTTAGGGTCGCTTCCGGTGTAACCTTCAAAATTTTTAATTCAATATTTTTTAAAATTTATTTTGCACAATCTTATTGTGATCAGCAAGCGAATGTAAATTTTACTAGATCATAAATTCAGAAAAATTTTAAAAAGGAGACTCTCGAGTTCACCTTACCTGAGAACCTGTAAAGAATATCAAAACGACTCAAAGACACCAGTTGTTTCGCTTAGACTTTTAAAACATAATGTTCCCATATATAAAGTGTGTTTTTATTTTGGTGCATAAGTAAAAACTGTCTTATTTTGAATAAATAGCATTAAGGTGGTTCCGAATTTTTTGCAACTTTTTAAACATATCTTATACAGATTGACCTATACCTAAGCCTTACCGTGTCTGACATATTTTAAATTTTATGCCATTTGCAGGTCTAGATATATCTATCGATTTATCCGACTGAAAGTCTCCATTATACATTATAAAAGGAGATTGATATTTGAAAAATAAATACACAGTGATCAAAAAGTGACATTAAACAATCGTTAAAAGTAATTTTTTTGAAATTGAAAAGGGTGTTAGCTATTGACATAATTTTGGACTTAACTTCCTATTAGTGTTTCCTTGTGTTGACATTTTAAAAATAAATAAATATTTTTTCAATTAAACACCCTATTTCTATAATTTTGTTATATTTGATATTTAAAAAAGAAATGCATGTATAAGGTTTCCTATATCAGCTACAATATCAAATAATTAGCAACAAAACGATCTTTTATTATAAAAATGCTAAACACTAAAGAAATGGCACTTACTGTCATTTAACATTTTTTTTATCAACTGTGCCTGGTAATTAAGTTAATTATGTAAAAGATTTTAGCTTTGTATAATGTCTTGAAATGAAAAACAATATATCAAAAAATCAGAAAATTTTAATACTATTATAAAAAAAATTGTACGTGATAAGGAAATATATATTTTAATAAAAAATCTCATTTTTATGTATTTTTAACTTATTGTTACATATAATAGATTCTCTTTGTTTTATTGACTATTAGTGCTTTTTTGTATTAAAAGATTCATTACAATAAAAAAAAACGACGAAGATACAGTTGCAAACGTCAGTTTGAACAAATTCAAAATGTGAAAGAAAGGGATTATTAGAAAAGAAATCCGATAACATACGATCCACCCTGTAGATACCGCTAAACTGAGGTTCTCAAAAAACTTTAATAACGGTAAAAGTAGGCACAATGAAACTCTAAATTTAGTTTTCGATCGAATCATAGTGAAATTTCGTGGAACCAAATCTTCAAAACAATTTTTTTCAAACTACAACGGAAAACACCTGGTATTAATTTTAACTAGTATCAAAATTCCAGGCCAGGAGAATTTTTAACCTGTTTTTTTAAAGGAGGTAATCCAAAAACACAAAAATATAAGCAAACTTATTCAAAATTAAGTTCCATCCTCATTAACTTCAAAATAATGATTTGTATAAATAACAAACAGGGTTGTCAGCTCATGTATATTTAAACTTTTACTTATTATTTACTTATAAAATTTTACATTAAATACAAAGTTTGCAGGTTTTAGAATAAGTGGTTTCCTTTGGGATAGCTTCTTTATTGAGGGACACCTATTTAAATACCCAAGAAATATTTTTCAAAAATAACATAACAGAACACTAAACCAGATTATTTTTTACAAAACACTCTACAAAACTTGATTATCTACAGATGCATAGTTTGTTTACCTCGGAGAATTATTTAATTAAATATTCAAAGGAAATGACTAAGTACGCAATTAATTAATCTTTGTCCGCGATTTTAGATTTATTAAAAAGATGGTTAAAAATAACCGAGAAATATCCGTCACCTTCGAGGGTGTGGTTAGGGCCAAAGCTGGTAGTTTCCATTAAAGATGCCGACCATTTACAGGTAACACGTTTGAGTCTATATAGGTATTTTATTCTGTTCATTAAATTTAATATCACTACCGATATTTGTAGATCGTGTTGCAGTCTTCGAAAATCTCCACAAAAGGCTTCGTTTATAATTTCCTGGAACCTTTCATGGGTCAAGGACTTTTCACGTCCAGAGGTAAGGTAATTTTATTCATCTTCTTACTCCTAGATCGCTAACACTAACAAGTGGTAGGTGTTAAGCATAAAACTCAACGGCGATTGTTGCAACCCCTCTTCGGCACCAAAGTGCTCGATGGATACGCGCATTTTTTTCAAAAACACGCTGAAAACTTGGTCAAGCTTCTGGACGTACACGTGGATGGCAACAACTTTGACGTTTTGTACCTTCTCCATGAAATCGCATTTGAAGCTACCATGGGTAAAACATCATAATTAATTATTTAAAGCCCGGAGATATGAGCCGTTTTTTTTTATATAGAGAGAGTTTAAAAATCGGTTACGATGGCTGAACTAAGCGAAACCAATTTCTAATTTTATACCGTTGGTTTTCTACTATTGTAATAATTTACAACAGATGTAGAGTTTTAATCAGTCATCAAGATCTTTTGTGAGTGCTACAAATATTTCATGGACATAAACAACCATAAAAAACATGGACGCAACCTCTGTCCTTCAATACTTGTATCTTCAGTGTCCGTTTCAATTTTTCTTTTTATGTTTTCTCATTTCCAATTACTTGTCGTTTTCTGGTTATGTGGTTAGTAGTCTTGTTTTTTCTTAGGGATAGGTACGTTTTCTTTTTTCTGTTTACTATTTTAGTTTTCGTTTGTTAGTTTTCTCACTACAATTTTCAAGATAAAGCACAAATTATATACCAGGAAGGAAAAGAGAGAGGCTTAGAGAGATGAATATTAGCTATGGGTAATAGCTAGTCTCCCACTATTTTGTAAGTAACATGTGTCTTAAATTCCATTATCCTCTGACCGTTTTAGACATTCTTTTGGAAGACAAAAATGACCACAACGTGGATTATAGACTAGTTCCAGGCTACATTCGGAGGTAGAAACGCAACAGAATTTTTGGTTTTTGTAAAGTTCTTTTTCGGTATCTTTAATTTCAGATTTTACCAAATTTTCACTGAACGTGTTGTATCCTTCTGGCTATATTCTAATCTAATATTCAAGCTTACTCCCATGTACAAGGAGCAGGAGGAGATGGTGAAAGTTGTGACGACCTTAACTCAAGATGTAAGCGGTAGGGTATTGATATTGATTGATATTGATTGCCGAGTTGCAGGTTACCAACGAAAGGGTACCAGAGATCATAAGACGCATGGAAACTGACTCTGAATTCTCCAACGAGCGATCCAAGATGTCTCCATCTGTCCTGGAAAGAATGCTCGAACTTGTTAGGGACAATCCCGAATGTTTGAGTGAGGAAGAGTTTCGCGATCATATATTGACTTTTGCAGGAACGGTAATTTTTTGGAAATAATACGATTTGTGATGTCTTTCCCCATAGATTAATCAATCAGTATGACCGGATTGAATTTGACACGAGCGGAGCGCAGTGGAGCGAGTGATTAATAAACGAGCGAATTAAAAAGTTTACCGAACGTGTTGCATACTATACTTTTTCTACGACCTTTAGTTTTTAAGTACATTTTCGCAAAACAACACTGACACGACCATCAGAATTGACAAACATCAAAATTCAAAGCGTAGGAAATATTTCCGAAAACATCCTATTACTCTCAAACCCGTTGGATAAAATCCCCGGAATGTTCGAAGTGGCTCGGTGTAATTTCGCTAGGTAAATTTTTTCTACTCCCGTCTGTAAAATACCTAATTACCCACCGATCTAGCGTGCGGGAAGCGTCACTTTTCCACGTCAGTTTCGTTTCCCATGAATCCGAGCCACTTCGGACATTTCCGGCACTCAGATATTTTCGGAGATATTTCCCACGGTTTGAATTTTGACGTTTGTCAATTCTGAGGGTCATGTCAGTGAATGTATTTGTGTTGTTTTGCGAAACTGTACCCAAAAACTAACGGTCGTAGAAAAAGTATAGTATGCAACACTTTCTTACTTGTTAACTCACTCGTTTATTAAAAACGCGCTCCGCTCGTGGCAAATAAACTCGTGAGTCAAATGCCGTTTATCGCACTTGTTGCATAATATACTATAACAACACCAATAAATTTACTTCAAAACCTGTTAAAAAAATAATTCATATCAAATTTTAAGTATAGTTTATAACCAATTTCTTATTGAATTTTTATTTTAGAGTCAAGATACACAAACTTCTGTTGTGGCTTTTACTCTGATGATGTTGGGAATGCACCCGAACATTCAGGTAAAGAGTGACTTTTTATATTTAATTTTTATTTTATTACAACGAATTTCAAAATAAGGTCTTGTGTTTAGTATACGCCGAACGACATCTTTTCAGGACAAAGTGGTGGAAGAGATACGAGAAATCATGGGGGATCGCAGACAAGTATATTTCGACGACACCGGAAAACTAAAATACATGGAAATGTGTTTAAAGGAGGCCATGCGATTATTTCCCGTGGGGCCTTTCTTGCCTAGAGACGTCCTTGAAGATTTCGAATTGGGTAAAAAAATGGTTACTAATCATAAACAAGTTTATGATTTATACTAAAAAATTTCAGCTTTCATCTTTTTACTAAAAGATGAAAAGTATGTTAAATTATAATGAATTTTAAAACAATAATTATTTTATATTCTACTATAACTTTTCGGCACCAACGGGCAACTTATAGCAAATTACATTTGCTCTTCTCAGAAACAAAGATGATTATAAAAAGAAAAAAAAAGCAATCTGTAATATATATTACCTTTGACCGTCACTGGTGTGGCAAAGCAGAAGGTTGTTTCTTTTCTTTTGATTTGACAACTCCACTTTGACAGATGGACTAAAAAAAATGCATATAAATATTAAATATGGCTCGACATCCTTTTCTAAACTCAGATGCATTATTCATGGCTAATAAACACTTAGGAGAGGTACTTTGAAGATACTACTTCCAGATAAATACAAAATACCAAAGGGCTGTTCGTTAATTTTGGGCATTTACGAAGTACACCGAGATGCCAGACACTGGGAAAAGCCTGACCGATTCTATCCTGAGCATTTTGATAGCGAACAAGCGGCGAAAAGGCATCCCTACGCCTATTTACCTTTTAGCGCAGGACCCAGAAGATGCATAGGTACGTATATAAATACAGAAAAATATTCGGCATAAAAATAAATAATTCGCGTTTTAGCTCAGCATTACTCCTACGTAAACATGAAGGTTCTGTTGACGAATATTTTGATTAATTACGTGGTGGAGTGCGAGGGTTGTCTAGACGACCTCGAACTGATGACTGATGTTTCAATACGTCCCAAGAATGGATATCAAATTAAAATCAAACGAAGAACCGGTTGAAACTTTTTTTCGTAAAATTAGTATATGCCTCGCGAAATAGTAATGTAGTTTTTTAAATAAATGGAACAGGACGTATTTTAGAGTTTGCGTATGTTTCCCGAAATATAATGAACGACATGCATACGCTTATGCTGAAAAAATACGGATTTTTTCTTACATTTTTGAGGATTAGAAATATATATTGAAATATTTATAAATTTTGTAAAACAGGCTTTCTAAGATATCTATGTAAATATTTTTTTTTATTTTACATTTTTATATTGTCAAAAATGTTTCATAAAATGTGCATTTCAAATTCCAGAGATTTCATTTGGTAAATTTTGCGTTTCTCGAGCTGAGCACTTTTATTCAATAGGCTATAAACGAAGGAATGGTTCTCCTTTTGAACATTACATAGGATAATTCACAAAGAATGGACAATCTCTAGGGAGATACTAGACACCAAAATATTGATTGAGCTCGACATGCATATACATGTCACTGTTTTCGGAAATTTGCGTATTATTTAAATAAATCTAATATTTATTTTATCTATCGAGCTATGATTAAAACATAATGACAATCTGTAATATTCAATTTTTCAATTTTTCATAGAATAGACTCTTATTTACGATGTTTAACTCTATCGGCTTTTGACTTATTGGAATTTATAAAGTTCAAAATGTTTTTTCGTTTTTTTTTATATATCCTTAAAAGATGAAAAAGATACAGAAAACTATAAAAAAAATACAATCAATAAGAATAAAACCAACAAAATAATAATGTTGAAATTGTCCACATCTATCTCAATATATTTTGCTATACATTCTCTTAAATATATTAGAATGTTAAACAAAACTTCTCTATTATTTCTAAGGATACTCGCTGCTCCATCTATTTTCTACCGCAACTCCTCTAATGAATGAATTTCTTGTACCAAATTCTTCAAGTATGACTCTATTAAGAAGTCCGGAAAGTTTAAGTCTGGACTCTTTGGAAGTTAAACAAACTCACTTGGAATGTATTGTAAAATATATTTGATTTGAATTTTTTATTTCTATTACCAAAATTGTTATTATTAAATTTCATATTTTAAATTTTAAATATAAATAAATAAATAAAAATAATAAATAAAATATAAAAATATAAGTATTTATAAAAAAATATAAAAATGCTTCTTTCAGATGTTCATTACGTTTAATCAGAAAAAAAATGATTCAGAATAACATTTAAACTTTGAACAGGGGACCCGAATTTCCGAAACCAGACACATCAATATAAAGCAAGGTGAACAAATATTTTGGTGTCTAATCTTCAGTTTCGAGATAGCCGATTCATTATGAATCACCCTGTATATTAACTAACGCAGATGTGGCTAGAGCAGGCTAGAGAAAACCGATCACTGCTGTTTTGATAAAAAAAATTGCAGCTCGCAGCAGAAATGTGATAATGCAATGAATCAAAAAACGAAATGTTTTAGAATACATCAAAGATTACAAGAAATAGTCAAATAAAATTATTCACCTCAGTTTCAAGCATCAGTTTGATTTACTCCTCTGAAATATAGATTAGTCGAAAAATGTCCCTTTAAAAGTAATTAAAATATAATAAATGGATCTACAGACTCATGGAAATCGGAAAAAAAAATTATAAAACATCAAACTTTTGTCCGGAGTGATGCTATAGTAAACGTCCATTACCAGAGTAAAGATTTTTAAGTATTGGACGGAAATTATGTGTCCAAACTAAGCATACGCAGTGTGGTGATATGGGAAGGCGCTTCTCTGAAGCTTGACTTGTCGCCTTTCTTCTGATCCCCCCGTTCCTACATATTTTTATTTTGTATCTTACTGACGTTCTTAATTGCAATGATGAGTATTTTTTATGCAAACTCATTCACCGCGTAATGTTTACAGTGTGAAATACTCACGTCGTTCATACTTTGCACCTACAAATTGCAAACAAATTGGGTGCTCCCTGTAAGTGTCGTCAGCAATTGTTATTCTAGTAATTTTATGTCGACCAAGGTCCCCCGAAGATGTAATACCTGTGCGACGTTAAAACAAGCAGTTGTTGTGAAATTGCGGCACAAACGAACCAGTAAACAGCGCACCAGAATGTAAGAGAAATTACACGGCGTTTGGTAAACCGTGTTATCTATTTTCGCGGTTTTTGTTCTTTTGCAGGATTACTACGTACTTAGAAGTGATCGCGCTGGTTCTGCTGGCGGTGCTGCTAGTTTACTACAACTGGAAACGACGGCATTTATATTGGGCAGCCAGCAAACTCCCCGGACCGTTCGCGTTTCCCATCATCGGCAATGCTCATAAGTTCATGTGTAAAAATGAGGGTATGTATTCAGGGCGTTTAATAAGTACGTGGCCAAGATTGCTCTTTTGGCAATTTCAATTTAAAAAGCCTATTTGCGTACAGGGTATACAATTTAAAAATGAATATATATTTGATTTAAGTACTGGTTTGTGAACCAGTTTTAATTATAAATCTTCAACATCAAAATAAATAAGAACTAAAAGTTCAGATTTTCACGAAATTATATATTTTGACATGACAATTGTTTCGACAACACCCTGTCTTTATCAAACATTTGATAAAGACACGGTGTTGTCGAAACAATTGTCATGTCAAAATATATAATTTCGTGAAAATCTGAACTTTTGGTTCTTATTTATTTTGATAAATGGATTTTCATCAAGTAAAAGCCTCCTCAGTTCAATACTTCAACATCAAGTCAAGGTTCGGCATCTACTTTAGCTGAATTCTCAACTGATACAGCTTAACATACTTATTAGGTTTTTTGAAGATTTAAATTTTAAATTGTGCTTAAAAAGCTCTATAAATAGTGCAAATTAGCCCCAAGGCAGGACCTTGATTCACTCCGGAGTAAACTTCAGTAAAAGAACGGTTGTATAAAGTGCGAACTTTTTAGAAGTCGGATTCAATCGGGCTAATTAAAGTGAGAAACAATGTTTCAGTGTTCAAACTAACTTAGTTACACAGTTACAAAATTTTTCCGACACGCCGTGGAAATAAGTCCAAAAAAGACTAGCTAGCTTGTAGCAGATTATAAGATCCTAAAAAAGAACATCGAAAAAACATCTCGGGAGATCAATGTTATTAAAATTACCTTTGGTTTACACGTTTTTTTCATGATTTTGGATTCCCCGGAATTCAAAAGAACCAGAGCTAGTTTTTTTTCTTGTAGCTAATAATTTGCTTTTCTCGAAAGGTGGCGTTCTTTGCATGTACCAAGTTTATTTATTATATTGATAAAAAAATATTAACGAAATCAGTTGTAGAAGAGGCCTATTGAACGCTTCTCAAAAAGATGATAATTTGCTGGAAACGTTTTTTGACGATCTATATCTTCCGGTAGATGGCGCAAATGTAAAACGGGTTGAAGAAAAGACTTGCCAAAGTGATGCATATTTTTCTATTGTAGTAATAAAATAAGGATAGGATGGAAAATTGGACATTTCTAACTAGCTAAAAGGACTCTGAACTGGTTTGTTGTTGGCTCAGGAAATATTCTATGTTTATCCATAGCATCGCAATTTAGCAATCAATGAAATAACGAAATAAAAAGCGTGCTGTTTCGTCGTTTATTTGCACGTATAAAGTAACCTTTAGACTTGTAAAAATCGCTTTTGTGCGTAATTTATAGCACGGGTGGCCGACTAATCGGTAGCGTGTTATCCCTAGGTTAAATACCAGTTGCCAAAAACTAACGACGACTAGCTAGCAAGAAATAATTAATTTAGAACTCCTTTGCTGGAGCTACCTCATTCATCTTTCCTATGCTGAGTGTTAGTTAATGCTAATGCGTTCTTATAAGCTCGTATTACACTGTCCCATAATATATATTAATATTATGTAGTTAATTTAAGAAGTTATATTTATTCCTTAAATTTCCTTCCTTTTGAAGGCATAACTAACAGCAAAACGATCGAATTAAGGGGAAATTAATGAACAAGTTTTTTTTAGAGGTGTTAATGAGAATATATGAACTAATGAAGTTATACTCGGACGTTCCGGTCAGATTTTGGTTAGGAAATAAATTACTAATATCCTTCAACAATCCAAATCATGCAGAGGTAAGTAACCATCGCTTCGTTTTCACATCTCAAAGTTTTATATAAAATTGGTTGCAGAAAATTATGTCTTCCCCCAAATTCGCCCACAAACACGACCTCTACGAATTTATCAAACCCTATTTAGGGGAAGGTTTAGTAACAGGATCGGGTAATTTTGAATTCATTTGCGCCCGCACGAGTTTCCGACACTTTGAGCTTTTAAAATTCCAGGAGCGCTCTACAAGCAGCACCGTCGCATCATACAGCCCATATTCGATTTGAAATTCGCACACGAGTGCGTTTGCATAATGCAGAAACACATCAACATTTGCATGGACAAACTCGAAGAGTTTGTCGATAAAGGAACATTCAATTACGGACACGTGGTACACAAGTGTATGGTGGATATCATTCAAGGTGAGTGTTTTCCGTAAACAGGACACTAACTTTTAAACCAAATCGTTCATTAAACACTTCTATGTACAAACTAAATCTTTGACTACAGATGAGTGTATCCTTCAAAAGAGATATAACTTCCAATTTAATTAATGTTAGTAGTGTAGTGTAGTGTTAGTGTACTTCATAGTTCCGTGTTAGGCTTCTCATTCTGCGACAATGTTACCTGCTTGTAGTACATTTTATTATTTTTTTATATTTCCTGTTTTCTTTTGATTATTTAATACAACGATGATGCCACATGATATTTTTAGAAGTGGCAACGTTGCATTATTGAAAATATTTGAGTTCGTTATAGCAGACATCCAAATCCAAGTACCAAAAATTTTTAAAATAATCATTTTTCCATTCCCGTGCACTTCTCACCTACTAGAGACGAAAAATCAGTCGGTATAGACCGCGGATTTAAGTTTAAATAGGAGGAATATATTACTTAAGAATGAGGTTAAAAATTTAATGGATAATATTAATGGGTAAAATTTGATAAACACGTCTCAAATTGTATTAAAGCGCCAATAATTCGACTTAAATTATTATAAAGGACAGTTGTTATTTTAAAACTCCGTGAAGTATTATTATATTAAATTAATAAAAATCTTGTTCACCCACCAAAAAATAATTTTATAAAAATTCGATCAAATTAAATATAAAGATTTATTTTCTGTTTAGAAATACTGTTTGGAATAGACGCGAAAGTACAACAAAAAGGATACAAACCGTTCGATCAAGCCATGATTGAGTAAGATCGTATTCGCATTTCGTTCAGAGTTGATATGCATTAACTCAAACTTTTCAGCGTTTATAATTTCGGGTTCACCAGGCTCGTAAAGCCCTGGCTACACCCGGACATAATATTCAACAATTCGCCGCTAAAAGCGAGGCAAGACCAGCTACGTAAAACGCTCAGGAAACTGACGCAGGATGTAAATCAGATTCCAAAAGCAATTTTTAAACCCTAAGTCCTAACACGTTGTTCGTTTCAGATAATAGACGCGTCTTACAAAAGAAGGAAGATAACTAAAACTGTCAGAGACTTTCCACCGGTGGTGGACCGACTAGCTGATTTCATCGAAGATAATCCTGGAATTATCGATTCGGAAACGTTCATCGATCATCTCTTAACACTACACGCAGCCGTCTGTATCACTTCAGACATTTCCCAGACCTACCGTACAGTCGGTTTTATTTTTAGGCGGAAGATACCCTGACCATAATCTCAAGTTTCACTTCAGTTTGCCTGGGAATGTATCCGGAGCACCAGGTAAGTCGAGTTGATTCGCCGAATGCTCCTGTTTAACGTGTACTTTAGCAAAAAGCGGCTGCGGAAGTCAGAGAAGTCTTTGGGGAAACGCCGAGGCCCGTCACGCCTGAAGACCTCACCAAACTGCCGTATCTAAGCATGTGCATAAAAGACGCTCAACGTCTGTTCCCCATAGCTCCATATATTCTCAGGAGATGCACCGAAGATTTTGAACTCGAAGGTATAGTAATAATGATTACCTCTTTTATCTGTGTATTTAAATAAAATTGTGGTTTTAATGAGACAGTTAAGAATCTATATCTATATCTACATTTAAAGGAAAAAATATTATCAACAAAAGAAAAAATCATATCAAAGCTCAAATACAAAAATAACAAAAAAACCAAAAAATCATTTCTTTCTGGAAATACGACTTCTTAAAAAAATTTAAACGTTTATAAATTTTAAATTCATATTTTAAAACACCTATTATAAAGAACCTAAATCAAGCAAATGTAATATAAAATAAATAATAAAAAATAAATAAAGCAAATAAATATAAATTTGACAAAAAATTAACATAACAGTACAGTCCAACAGACTAGCATATCCTGAAGTCTAATATATAAAACCCACATGTGGCAAAAAGTTTTAATAATGTCAAAAATTATAAACAACTCTTATATTTAAAAAAATAGCCATAAAAGCAAAGACAGTCAGAGGGCATTCGGTAGAATACAAATGCAACAGACAAAACTTTTGCCAAAATGTTTCTTATTAAACCAAAAGTACATTTTTAGGTTTTTATATGAATTCTTTCAGAATGTTATAGTTCTTATTTATATTTATTAAGTTTAACTTTTGTAAGTCGGAACGACCCAACTGCTATTAAATTAAGAGCTTCATAGAAAATATTCTCTTTAGGAATAGAGATATTTGATTATTAATGTTTTTATGCACTTTATTGATATATCATCCCACATCTATTCTATTTCTACAGATCCTCGTGCGTCTTCAGATTCAAATGGGTTTGAACCACTTATTTGCACAAAATCTCCCCTAATTATCTCAAAAACTTCCTTAGATTCCCCAACATTAAAGCATAATTTTAAAAATGACAACTAATGACAACTTCAACTACCAGTAATAACCACCCATTTCATCAAAAACTTCCATTAATTATGACGACTGCAAAACAAATTATGACAACAAAACCTCCTCGTTTAAGTCTTCAACTCTTTCTCTAAATTGCACTAAAATGTTTCGAAATTCATTGACGTTTTGAAGTTCCAAAAGTACCCAACTGCTTTAAATAATTTTTTTTCCTACTCAAGAATTTATTATATCTGTTTTTAATAAGCAGCACTAAAGTTTGTTGCAAATTCCGTTTTTTTGAGGAAAGCAATTATTGCTATTATATTGAAACATCTAGAACCATCAACATTTTATTGATTTTGTTCTATCTCGGTAATTAAAGAGTCCAGCTAAATTATTTATACACTTACTGACAAATCACTCTTAAACAGTTATGGATTATGCTCATCCGCGTATATCGTGAAGTTGTTTAATTAGCAAGTCCTTCTTCATTTGTAGACAAATGGTTGATACCCAAAGATTCAGCTATTGTGGTGGCAATTTTTAATATTCATAGGGATCCAAGGTACTGGGATAACCCCCACCACTTTCACCCGGATCATTTTCTGCCGGAAAAAGTAAAAGGTCGTCACGTGTATGCTTTCGTTCCATTTAGTGCCGGACCGAGAGGATGTATCGGTAAGCCTCAAAATTTCCAAAACTGTTCAAGACTTTGCCAGATTATAGAGCAACAATTTTGGTTAACTTTTAGGAAAAATCTTGGCCAACACCGGCTTAAAAATATTCCTATCGAACTTGCTGCAGCGATTCGAAATCGAGGCTGAAGGACAACTACCAGATTTGCCGCTACGGATGGACATTTCAGTGAGGCCCAAGAGGGGTTACTTTTTGAGTATTAAAAAACGTGTCTGGAAATGAGTCAATACCAGCGGATTTTGTTATTTATTATTATTTATTGTAATGAAAACTAAAAATAGAAATAAATATGTTTTTTATGAGGTTTTGTTCTGTATACCCTCCCAGAATGTTTTAGACTACTTTTTAGTATCTCGGTCAAATAAACATAAACAACTAACCGGAATATCTTGTGTATCTAATGTAATGCTTTTTATTTGTTCAATGAAGTGGAAGAAAATTAAGTACAGAACTGTCAGTTTTCCCTATAAAGAGTTTTAATAAAGTTAGTTTCGACGTAGAATCCCTCGTTACTAAAGTTCCTATTCCTGAAACTCTCACCATCATTTCAGATATACTAAAATCCGAGAACCTGGAACATATTTTTCTTATAACGGTCAAATTTTTGAACAAAAGTTGGGAACAGCTATGGGTTCTTTCTTCATTACCACCAGTCATCGCGAATATATTTATGGAAGCCTTTCCATCTAAAACCAAAATTATGGAGACGCTACGTCGATGATACTTTTGTTATTTGGCCTCATGGTCAAGAAACCCTAGTAAATTTTCTTAGACATTTAAACTCTATACACCCTAACATTCGTTTTACTATTGAGTTGGAAACTAATAATAACCTTCCATTCTTAGATATTCTTATCAACAGAAAATCAGACCTAACACCACTGTGTTTACAGAAAACCTACGCAGTCAGACCGATACCTTAATGCATTGTCACATCACCAACCGGGCCAAAAATTATCGGTTATCAACTCCCTTTTTTACAAAACTAACTCAGTCTGGGTCATTGAACCCAGAATTAGAACACCTTTCCTCTGCTCTTCTCTCTAATAATTTCCACATTAAAGATATTATGCGTTCCATCACAAAATATACTTCACCACAACCTTCCAATAGCAATGAAACCGAAAGCAATCCCACACTTGCCACTGTTGTCCTTCCTTATATTCAAAACATCACTGACCACATATCAAAAGTTCAAAAGAAATATAAAATCAGATCAAAATCAGATTTATCACTTGTCCAAAAATCTCTGAACACCTTCGATCCGTCAAAGACAAAATTCGATTTGAGATGTCAGGAATTTACAGCAATCTATGCATATGCGGCAAAGATTGGAGAAACCGGACGAAAAATATCAACTAGGCGCAAATAACATGAAATAGCATTAAGACTAAGACAAATATACTCATCACTGCTGTTTTATCTCCACTGCAAGTGTACCTCTTGGATAAATTGGAGAAATTGTAAATTGCAAATTGCAAATTGCAATTGCCATTAAGCGATCCGTTAAAGAAATAAGGTCTTATAATATTATCTCCTATAATCACTGCCCCTATATTTAAAGAAACCCGGCGCTGATGTTTTCCTTCAATTTTTGCACGTGGGTTATGAATGTTCCATTGATGCACATTTCGAAAATTTACAATACCATCACGATTGAATCCAGCCTCGTCAGTGAACAAAATGACATTTAAGAATTGCGGGTAATTTTGAAGTTTTTCTAAAATTTGATTGCATACAATTACTCTCAATTGCTAATCTCCCTAATACAGCGCTTGAATCCTTTAAACATGAAATATCCGAAAATCATTTGTTGCAGCGGTTCTTTTATACCTTGGTCTCCCTCTTTCACCAAGTCTTCCGTTTACGTTGATGAATATCTTAGCAGATAGAACGTTTCTATTGGGATAAAGCTCGATATAAAGCCGTCGTGTTTAATCTGCATTTCCATTTACTCTTCTGTAGAAAAAATGCATATCTCGATATTCAGTACTTGAATATTCCTGATGGGCCATTACAGTAGCAGTTCGATAATAAACTCTCTTTATAAAAATTAATTTTTAACGGATTAGGACAATGACTTTCAAAGTCCCGTTAGATAAAATTTGAGAGGAAAATAAAAAATCGATTTGTGGCTAAACATTAACACTTATCGATATAAAACAAGAGTAACAATTTTTGAGGATTAAGGCAATCTGTTCTATTTTGCAATATCAGTCCTAATAAATGAAAAAGTCATATCAAAGCTCAAATACAAAAATAACAAAAAAACACAAAATCATTTCTTTCTGGAAATACGACTTCTTAAAAAAAAATAAAAGTTTATAAATTATGGTAGATATTCAAGACATCGTAACAAATATTTTTAAACACCTAATATAAAGAACCTGAATCAAGCAATCTAAATAAATATCGAATATATCGAATATAAATAAAAATCGATTTGTGGCTAAACATTGACACTTATCGATATAAAACAAGAGTAACAATTTTTGAGGATTAAGGCAATCTGTTCTATTTTGCAATATCAGTCCTAATAAATGACAAAGTCATATCAAAGCTCAAATACAAAAATAACAAAAAAACACAAAATCATTTCTTTCTGGAAATACGACTTCTTAAAAAAAAATAAAAGTTTATAAATTATGGTAGATATTCAAGACATCGTAACAAATATTTTTAAACACCTAATATAAAGAACCTGAATCAAGCAATCTAAATAAATATCGAATATATCGAATATAAATAAAAATCGATTTGTGGCTAAACATTGACACTTATCGATATAAAACAAGAGTAACAATTTTTGAGGATTAAGGCAATCTGTTCTATTTTGCAATGTCAGTCCTAATAAATGAAAAAGTCATATCAAAGCTCAAATACAAAAATAACAAAAAAACACAAAATCATTTCTTTCTGGAAATACGACTTCTTAAAAAAAAATAAAAGTTTATAAATTATGGTAGATATTCAAGACATCGTAACAAATATTTTTAAACACCTAATATAAAGAACCTGAATCAAGCAATCTAAATAAATATCGAATATATCGAATATAAATAAAAATCGATTTGTGGCTAAACATTGACACTTATCGATATAAAACAAGAGTAACAATTTTTGAGGATTAAGGCAATCTGTTCTATTTTGCAATATCAGTCCTAATAAATGACAAAGTCATATCAAAGCTCAAATACAAAAATAACAAAAAAACACAAAATCATTTCTTTCTGGAAATACGACTTCTTAAAAAAAAATAAAAGTTTATAAATTATGGTAGATATTCAAGACATCGTAACAAATATTTTTAAACACCTAATATAAAGAACCTGAATCAAGCAATCTAAATAAATATCGAATATATCGAATATAAATAAAAATCGATTTGTGGCTAAACATTGACACTTATCGATATAAAACAAGAGTAACAATTTTTGAGGATTAAGGCAATCTGTTCTATTTTGCAATATCAGTCCTAATAAATGACAAAGTCATATCAAAGCTCAAATACAAAAATAACAAAAAAACACAAAATCATTTCTTTCTGGAAATACGACTTCTTAAAAAAAAATAAAAGTTTATAAATTATGGTAGATATTCAAGACATCGTAACAAATATTTTTAAACACCTAATATAAAGAACCTGAATCAAGCAATCTAAATAAATATCGAATATATCGAATATAAATAAAAATCGATTTGTGGCTAAACATTGACACTTATCGATATAAAACAAGAGTAACAATTTTTGAGGATTAAGGCAATCTGTTCTATTTTGCAATGTCAGTCCTAATAAATGAAAAAGTCATATCAAAGCTCAAATACAAAAATAACAAAAAAACACAAAATCATTTCTTTCTGGAAATACGACTTCTTAAAAAAAAATAAAAGTTTATAAATTATGGTAGATATTCAAGACATCGTAACAAATATTTTTAAACACCTAATATAAAGAACCTGAATCAAGCAATCTAAATAAATATCGAATATATCGAATATAAATAAAAATCGATTTGTGGCTAAACATTGACACTTATCGATATAAAACAAGAGTAACAATTTTTGAGGATTAAGGCAATCTGTTCTATTTTGCAATATCAGTCCTAATAAATGAAAAAGTCATATCAAAGCTCAAATACAAAAATAACAAAAAAACACAAAATCATTTCTTTCTGGAAATACGACTTCTTAAAAAAAAATAAAAGTTTATAAATTATGGTAGATATTCAAGACATCGTAACAAATATTTTTAAACACCTAATATAAAGAACCTGAATCAAGCAATCTAAATAAATATCGAATATATCGAATATAAATAAAAATCGATTTGTGGCTAAACATTGACACTTATCGATATAAAACAAGAGTAACAATTTTTGAGGATTAAGGCAATCTGTTCTATTTTGCAATGTCAGTCCTAATAAAGGAAAAAGTCATATCAAAGCTCAAATACAAAAATAACAAAAAAACACAAAATCATTTTTCTGGAAATACGACTTCTTAAAAAAAATAAAAGTTTATAAATTATGGTAGATATTCAAGACATCGTAACAAATATTTTTAAACACCTAATATAAAGAACCTGAATCAAGCAATCTAAATAAATATCGAATATATCGAATATAAATAAAAATCGATTTGTGGCTAAACATTGACACTTATCGATATAAAACAAGAGTAACAATTTTTGAGGATTAAGGCAATCTGTTCTATTTTGCAATGTCAGTCCTAATAAAGGAAAAAGTCATATCAAAGCTCAAATACAAAAATAACAAAAAAACACAAAATCATTTTTCTGGAAATACGACTTCTTAAAAAAAATAAAAGTTTATAAATTATGGTAGATATTCAAGACATCGTAACAAATATTTTTAAACACCTAATATAAAGAACCTGAATCAAGCAATCTAAATAAATATCGAATATATCGAATATAAATAAAAATCGATTTGTGGCTAAACATTGACACTTATCGATATAAAACAAGAGTAACAATTTTTGAGGATTAAGGCAATCTGTTCTATTTTGCAATATCAGTCCAAATAAATATAATACAGGGAAAATAAAAAAAAATTTCAAGGTACGGTGCCCTCTAGTGATAGATTTCTGAAACACTTTTATTTTGAAACAATGACTTTTACTAAATCACCTTATACCGTTGAAAAATAAAATTCAAAAAAATGAATTTTGACAAGCTATAGCTCTTTTTTTAACTCTTGACTGGAACCTTCGGCACTGCACTAACACACAATAACGCGTTTTAC